CAAAAGGATTATTTCTAGCCTGTGTTTATTTTAATTTACAATTTAAAAAATATAAATATATTCTCTTTAAATGAAATAAGTAAACCCTTTAATCTTTCTCCTTTTTTTATTTTCTAACTCGAGTCTTGTTTGCTTATCTAATTAAAGTCATGACCATATCAGGATTAGGTAATTCAAGTTGCTAATCTCTCTACTTTCCGTTTCTATTGACCAAAAACTAACGATCATCGGCAGAGGTAATACTTGGAAACATTGTCAGTTGGTTATTTAAATAAAAACAGGCATTCAAGTATTGGTAATCAAGCTGGCAAATAGCACTGCCAGAAACGTTTATAATTAATGCATAAATAATGATTCAGCAGATTGCCGGAATATGCTAATCATGCCGTCGTACGCAATTCTATTTCTGTATTTTATTCTTTTGATGAAACCTCTGGGTTCTGTCCACTGTCTGTCCATTTAAGGGTCGAGAACTGGTTGTTCGGTCTTCTGGGAGCGGATTTTCCGCTGACCCATCTGCATTTGGCTCGGACCAGATTTCGGATTGTGCAGTCTTCAGCGGCTTTACTTTGGCATGCCAAGGCCATTATTTAATTTATATAAAAACAAATATATTATATATATCATATCACTGGCTATTTGGCAAGCTCATTGGCTCTTCGCTGAATTCTGTCAGCCGCTTTTAATGGTGGCCAGTCGAAATTGGCAACCGGTTCAGGGTGATCTAATCTAAGGGTTTGCTCTACACTCGGCAGAAAAATGGGGTATATAACACATAATATATAAGATATAAGATATATAGGGTAAGGTGGGGTAAAGCCGACCTAGTAAATGGTTTTGGCTATAAAATGCTTATTTTACATCGGATAAAGTCGTTATATATACCAAATTAAAGGTTAGACTTTTGCGCAACGTTCTATGCATAGCATTTTATTCATACCTTTGAAAAGTTTTGAGATACAAGCGTTTTACGAAAAAGTTCATTTTTGCTATGTTCAAAAATGATGGGGTAAACCCGACCGCCTATGTTTTTGGTTGATATAGTACAGATATAACCTAAATATAGGTGTTGCAATGATAAATCAATCAATGTTATGTTATATAATGGTAAAAAAAGATAAAAGAATTAAAAAAATTTAAATAGCAAAATAATTAATCAGTATCTTCTGATTCGCTGCTCAAATAGCTTGCTGGCGTTTTTTGGTTCGAGTTGAACGTCTGGTTGACTGCGATGTTGATGGTTTTGGTGTGATTGTTGTTTTTTTTGGATTTTTTGCGGCAAGATTTACCCCGCTATTTAGAGGTCGGATTTGCCCCACCACGTAATTTTTCATAAAAACGCAATTAAAAAAGAAATTATGAAAAAAAATGAACCAAACTTATATGCACTTTGTAGGACTTTATTCAAAGAATCTAAATCCACTTACCTTTTCATGCGATAACTTTGACAAAAAGAAATATCCTGCAGTTAATTATGCACAAAAATGAAATTCAAAATTGTGAAAACAAACTTGTTGTCGTTTGACCATCTCAATGTTGACTAATAAAATGCTGTCATACCACCATTTACATTGTTTTCGATGCTCTACACGACAACACTAATATTATTTTGCGTAGTGCTTCCGATTTTCGAAAACAGAGGGAGGTCGGGTTTACCCACACTGTCGGCTTTACCCCACCTTACCCTATATAAGATATAAGAAACTGAAATTATATATAAACACTTTCTAATAAATAATTTTCTTAAAAACCTTTTATTTAAAAGTAAAAATACAATTAAAATAAAAATCTGTTTTTTTCAGTGCCTTTCTGCTTCTTTTTCTATTGGGAATCTCAGCTTTTACGTTTGATTTTTCAACCCAACCACCTGTCGTCGACACGTCCGAGTGCGAAATCCGCCTGGATTTTGGCCTGGCTTTCTGTTTTGACTTGGCCAACCAATTGGTCAATTGTTGGTTGGCCGCCCAACCATCCGACCTTGACCCACCCAAAAACAAAATGTTTTTGCCTGTTTTTGCCAGGTAAACAACTTTGACATGGGCATTGGGAATGTGCTTGCGCCATAAATACTTCACTTTAGCCCAAGATGGACTGATAAGGTGCCAAGAAACCGAAATTCCCAGCTAAAAAACTTGCTTAAAAACAAATAATAAATCATAAATGAATGCTTAAACAATTCTTTCTCTATTAAAACTAGAAATTCTGCTTGATTTTGCTGAACTTCTTTCATACTTAATGTTGTTTGCTGAATTTATGATGGCCATTAATTATTTTTATAATGATTTTATCCAGTAAATAGCCTTGTGAGTAATTAAAACACATTATAAATAGCAAAATGGACAATTTTGATTAACTTAAAAACCCAAATAATTCAGGTTTTTATACCCTTGCAGGGTATCATAATTTCAGTCAGCAGTTTGCAAAGCAGTGAAGGAGTCATTTCCGACCCTATAAATCATATATATTCTTGATCAGCATCAACAGGAGAGTCGATCTAGCCAGGTTTGGAAGGGAAAAACATTTTTTTATTTTTTTTTAAATTTTATATCTTAAAAGTCTTAAAAATGGCCATAACAATAAGTCAAAAATCTTGATCTCTTGAAATATTAAATTTAGTATGCAGATTTGTTAGCCTATTAAAAACTAGCATAGAAAAGTTTACCGAATGGAATTCGGTGCTTTTTTGGCTTAGTTATGATATTTTTAAAATTAAATTTTAAACAAAATTATCACCTCTAAAAAATTCCAATATTTTAGGTCCTATTAATGGTTTTTACAATTTATTTAGTGAAGGGGTCATTTCCGACCCCATAAAGCATAAATATTCTTGATCAGCATCAACAGGCAAGTCGATCTAGCCATATTTGGAAGAAAAATATTAAAAAATTTTTTTTTTTAATTTTATGTCTTAAAGATCTTAAAATGGTCATAAAAAAAAGTCAAAAATCTTGATTTCTTGAAAAATTAAATTTGGTATGCAGATTTGTTAGTCTATTAAAAACTAGCATAAAACAGTTTACCGAATTGAATTCGGTGCTTTTTTGGCTTAGTTATGATATTTTATAGCATTGATTTGTTCAAAATATTAAAATTAAATATATAATATAAATAAATAAATACGCGAGCTCACCTAGAGAAATATATACAAGAGACTGCCTAAAAGTATCCCAGGAATTCATAGTAACCAAAAGTCATCTTAGCTTTTCGAAAGCTTTAGCTGAGTGTCTAGAAATATAGAAGAATTTTATATACGATAAATTTTATGTAAAATAATTATAAGAAATTTTAGAAATTATAATTCAATTTTATAAAATATTTATATAATTTATATAATATTTACTTAATACATTACAAAACTAAATACTTAACACCCAATAAACCTGTGCCAAAGTGACCTCAACTTATCACACTCAGTGTAAAATCTAATCAAATGCAAACTGCAAGGCCAAAGATAAGCTCGGCATGAACGATGATCTAGAAAATAGTTGTCAGGGCGATAGGAGCAATGCATTTTATATATAAGCAAACATATATTAAAAACAAAGTATATTAAAACCCCTTTCAACCCTTAAACTGAACTTGAACTCACAGTTTCCTTCATTTAATGTAATTTTTACGATGACAATGATTAATTGTGATTAGCAGCTGCAGTCAGGATTTTGCTAATTTCCGTTTATTTAATTATTTTAATCAGCTTTCAAAAGTGTTGAACTTTGAGCCAGACAAAGGCGTTGGCTTTATAGACATTGTTAAAGCCTTTCCTTAAACCAGACCTCTTTTATAATGAATTTTTGTGATAAGATAAAGATAAAATAGTTGTAAATTAAAAGAATTTGGCGTAGGAACCAAATAAATATTTTTAAAAATTTATTGAAATGTAAAAAAATAAATAATAAATAAAAAATACTGATAGTTAACAAGTGGTCTTGTCTGTTAACAAGTTTTTCTGTTGTTTTTGCCTAAAGTCCAGCCTTTGAAAACGTCTAGACTTCGCGAGTCTGAAGGACTTTGTAAATAAAGATAACTAACTATATTTCCTTCCACTCGTGGAAAAAGTCTTTAAAATCTCTTGTTAAATTTCTAAGAAAACTTAAGTCTATTGTTTGTTGTTTATAATAGAATTAAAATATATATAAAACTTAAATCTACCGCCTTAACTTACAACAAATATTTTGTTTATATATATCTGCTTATATGACACGATCCACACGTTCTATGTGGGTCAACGTCATTGCTCTGATCGCCTGCACTTGTGGTTGTGATAGAACCCGTTTTTGGGTCTGGCACTGCACTGAGGCAATGATATAGCCCCCAGTGGAGGCCCAATTTGGCGAGAGATTCGCTACAGTCGAGTACCAGGGTATATGCACATGTAAATATAAGTTAAACATAAAATTTAAAAAAATTATATGGACCTCTAAATAAAGTTATAAGCATAAAGTTAAACTATTTATAATTTACAGTCTTTAAATTTACCAAAATTAATTTATTTTTCAAGTAAAGAAGCCACAGTATTTCTATAAATAGTATTTAATTTATGTCCTAAATTACTTTAAAGTCAACACTTTGACTTTATTTTACTGATAGTTCCAAAAATTAGGGCCAATTGACGTTTTTCCCAGTTTGTTTTCGACACAATCTCTAGTTTGAAGCTCTTCGAAATTTTTTTTTTCTTTTGTTTATGACCCAAATACTTGTAGTTTTTGTTCATAGTTCTAGCCCGCACTTTGAGCACTTTTAATCAGCTTTGTCTACGCAATAATTTCACCATTAATAAATATGTAAGTACTTCTACGCAGAAGAGGCACTAGTATATGGCCTGACCAGGAGGCAGAGTGCCAGTGCCAGCTGCGTCATCTTTGAGACCCTCTAGGGGGAAGTGGCGACCCCAAGCGCAGGGCATTCCGAGTATCGCTATCAGTACCCAGGCCCAGACCCAGCCCCCATCCGAGATCCGAGAAGGAGAGCCGGCTGGCTGACTGCAAATTAGTTGCAAACGAGACGGAAAGCCGAGCGGTTGGCAAAAACTAGACACCGCTTTACAAATATAGCACTCACCGATCACTCAGCGAGTTGTATTATAGTTCTAGTTGCAGTTGCATTTTGTGATCTCTACTATGAGCACCCTGGCATTGCTGGCCTTTGTCCTTTGGGCCTTGTTTCTGCGCTATTTGCCGCAGATCCTGAACTTTTTGCGTCTACAAAGATTCGCCAAGACGCTGCCAGGACCTTCGGTGGGCGAGTTGATAGCGAATGTGAAGAAGGGGGGTGAGTAGGGGGGGCACAACTAGCACCAGAATGCAATAAAATAAATATTTATAAAATATCACGTATACGCAGCGTTGCCTGCAATGGAATTTCCATGCACTTGGACTTTGAACTTGTGTTCTCTTAGTATTTCTGTTTATAAACAATTACTTAATAACCTTTTAAAGAGATCCTCAATTGGCTGAAGGAGCTGAGGGAGCGACATGGCCCTGTTTTTCGCATTTGGTTCGGCAAGGACCTCATGGTAATGTTCAGCGATCCGGAGGACATCAAACAGCTGCTGGGCAACAACACGCTGCTGTTCAAGTCCAAAAACTATGAACTCGTAGAGCCCTGGCTGGGCAAGGGTCTGCTTACCAATGGCGGTGAGTCCTGGCATCGTCGTCGCAAGCTCCTCACGCCGGGCTTCCATTTCCGCATCCTTGGCGAGTTCAAGGAGCCCATGGAGGAGAACTGTCGCATCCTAGTGCGCCGCCTCCGGGAGAAGGCCAACGGTGAGTCCTTCGACATTTATCCGTACATCACCCTGTTCGCCCTGGATGCCATCTGTGAGACGGCCATGGGCATAAGGAAGCATGCCCAGCTGCAGAGCGATTCCGAGTATGTTCAGGCAGTGCAAAAGTGAGTGTGGGAAAACAATATTTAAATTTGGAACAAATAATAATAAAATATTTAATTTACCTTCGCAGGATCTGCCGGGTGATGCACAAGCAGAGCTTCTCGTTTTGGCAGCGCCTAAACATCTTCTTCCGCCACACCAAGCCGGGCAAGGAGCGCGATGCCGCCCTGAAGGTGCTCCACGACGAGACGAACCGCGTGATCCGCCTGCGCAGGGAGCAGCTACTCCAGGAGCGGGCCGAAGCCCGGCCCGAGGCCGAGCAGGACGATGTGGGCGGCAAGCGGCGATTGGCCTTCCTGGACATGCTTCTCCTCAGCCAAATGGAGGGCGGCGCCGAGCTAACCGACACCGACATCCGCGAGGAGGTCGATACCTTCATGTTCGAGGGCCACGACACCACCAGCTCGGCCATTGCCTTCACCCTCAGTCTGCTGTCCAAGCACGCGGCCATCCAGCAACGGGCATACGAGGAAGTCTCCGAGCTGGAGGGCAGGGAGAAGGAACCGATGCCGTATTTGGAGGCGGTGATCAAGGAGTCGCTGCGAATCTATCCCTCGGTGCCGTTCTTTTCGCGCAAGGTCATGGAGGATCTGCCCGTGGGCAAGCTGACGGTGCCCAAGGGCGCCTCGATCTCGTGCCTCATTTATATGCTGCATCGGGATCCCGCCAACTTTCCCGATCCGGAACGCTTCGATCCCGAGCGTTTCCTGCTCAACGAGAAGCAAATGCATCCGTTTGCCTTTGCCGCCTTCAGTGCGGGTCCCAGGAATTGCATAGGTGAGAGTCTTATTTATTTTATTTTTTATTTTATTTCTATATTTAAAATTTAAGATGTTTTAAATTTTAGATATTCAGGTAAAATAGTTATTATAATACAGGGTAATCTCTACTATTTAATGTTGAATTGATTTTTCTGAGCTTTTAAATATTATTTAAAAATTCTTAAAACCTTAAAAAATGTATAGATAATATCTTTATTTTTTTTTAAACATTATTCATCTATTGAAATATTTTTAAGTATTTCTAAATTTTAAATAATCAGGTGAAATAGTTATTATAATCCATGATCCATGATCCATGATAATCCATGTAGGGATTCTACATAGAGTTGAATTTATTTTTTGAGCCTTTAATTAAATATTTTAAAATTCTCGAAACCCTTAAAAACCCCTAGATAATCTCTTTAGCTTATTAGAAATCTTGTGTAGAGCTATTTTTAAATATTTATTTGTTTTGATTTTTAATCGAAAGTTTGTTTTGATACCAAAAATAGGCAGCGGAATTTTTCGAGCTATTTGTCAGAGTTCACACAAGAGCGATTTAATTTATTGAATGAATTTATTCTGTGAATATTTATAGACGTCACTCGAATTATATGTATAAAATTGATAAGGAAAGCTGGATGCTGCTGGGTTGTTGCCTTGAAAGTTCACTTGAATGATTGTAAACAATATAATTCAATAGGAAAAGCTATGGCTATTAAATTCTGAGCTCCTAGTCCTAAAATTCCTAAACGCTTTCATCTTTAGTCAGGAAATACTAACGAAAACATTACTTAATATTATTTAGTTATTTGTTTATTAAATTTGTGAATAAAAAATGTCATTAAAGGGCTTATGAAATGTCCACAAATAATACTTTTATTAACTCTATTTTTTATTTAATAATTTTATTAATAATTTTTTTGTATTTTTCCAGGCCAAAAGTTCGCCATGCTGGAACTGAAGACCTCTTTGTCGATGCTGCTGCGCAGCTATCGCTTCCTGCCAGACGAGGATTATCAGCCCCAGCCTTTGGCCGAGTTGGTGATGAAGAGTGGCAACGGGATTAGAGTTCGGATTGTGCCACGCGACCAGGAGGTCAGCTCAGCATAATGTATATATTTTTTTTATTTTTGTATTTTTTTTTTGTTTATAAATAATACTCTAGCTTATAAATTTAATTTTTAATTTTAAAAGCCTTTAGCATTTTTTAAAAAATTTATATATAATATAAAAAAATATATATAATAAAAAAAATATATTTAATATAATAAAATATATAAAATATAAAAAAAAATGTAATAAAAAAGATGTATAATATATAAAAATTACACTAGTTTGCATAAATATAGTTTTTATACTTATAAAAAACTAGAAATTATGTAAAATAAAATAAAAAACAAATAAAATTAAAAATTAAGCTTCACTAAATTTTTGATAAATGCTGACCAGTGTTAATGAATGTTTATTATTATGATTACCTTATCGGCGAACGTGACGCAGTTGAAGTGGCTTCTCCGGGGGGGCCTGCGGCTATGTCAGTGGGTTATCAGTTATGGGCCCCCCCCCCACCTGGACCCAGCATAGCGTCCTTGGACTCCCCTCCCCTCTCGCACAAGGGAAGGCAAAGATTAGACAACAAACGAACTGTGTTTTTGTTTTGTTTATTTCACTTTGAACTTTGAAAAATACACATTCGATCATATACATATATACACGATTAGAGGTATATATATGTGCATGTATGTATATAGGTGCTGGGCTTTATTCGTTAGTTATTCATATATTTATTTATATTTATTGTTACTTGTATTGTTAACATCCAGAACCAGCAAACAAAAAAATATATGGTATAGTTATATATATGTTGTATATATCGTGTGTTTCCCTCTGAATAACTACTACTACGCACACACTTATTGCTCTCTCCCAAGAGTCGATCGGTCCGTCCTTGTGGTGTTCCCTGATCCTTAATTCCTTAAGCTTACCTCCGTCCTCCCCTTGATTTGTTGTTAGTAGAACTAGTTAAATTCCTTTACCATAAATATATATATATATCAATATATATATATAAGAGTGTGTAGGATATATATTTGTTTTGTTCCGAGTTGCGATCGTAGCAGATTGGTAAGTAGTTGTATATATATATATATATATATGTATTCACATCTCTGGTATAGTATACTCTATATCCCTAACTAGATTGCCTTCAATTTCCGTTTTGTGTATGTGTGTGTGTGTGCCGATCTTTACAATACAATATATATAGTATATGTCTATATAGGTAGGTTTATAAGCAAGTTCCTCTTCTTTTTTGTTTTTGGCCTTTTTTTTGCCTTAAAGCTGAGCAGGAAACAATTCGTCTATGGGCTTAGTTAGTGGCGGCTAATGATATGGTTTGGCTATAATAAATACAGTTAATATTTGTATGTTTATATATATATAAATATACAAATATATATATATATATATATATATATATATATATACATTTATATATATAGAGCATAACTGGGCACATAAAGCGGGGCTTTCGGGGGGGCTTTTCCCCTTTAAAGGTGAGGAAATACTGTGAGTTTGGCTTTAATTTTGGGGGGTTTCTTTGCTACGTTTATTATTCAGTTTTTGTTTTTTTCTATATTTTCTACTTACAAAATAATGTTTAAAATTTATTTAGTTTATAAACAATTACCTTATAAAATTATTTAAAAATCTCTAGAGTTTTTTTTGACTATTTCACATGGCTTTGAAATAGTTTGTTGAGGTTTTAGGTTTTAGTTTTTTTCTACAAATTAATTTAAATATTTTTAGCAAGTCAAAAATGCTTAAAAAAAATTATAAACAATATTTAAGCAAACAAAAGTAATTAAAAATACAATTTTTTTGCACTGTATAAACGTAATAAAGGGGACTTTAGCCCGAAAAGCCCCGCCTAGTGGCTCCTAGGATCCTTAACTTAACTCGAACGAAACGCACTGGCTGCTCCTCCGAGGCTGCTCCTCCGGGATCACAGCCATGGAATGCAAATGGTGCGGCATACATCGCGCCGATGCGGATGGGGATGTGGCTCCTCGCCCATCTGACCGCCACCGCCGCCGCCGATATCCGCTGGAGCACCAGTGCCACCTTCACCGCCACCACCTCCTCCTCCTCCGCCGCCAAACTTGAAGAACGAACTCCTTCGTCAGTGCTTGCGATGGGCCTGCGGTGAAGCGCTGGCAATGGAGCCCGATGCCGATCCGGAGCCGGAACTGGAGCCGGAAAGAGAACCGGACCCGGATCCATAGCCAGGCTCAGCCTCCGGCATGGACTGCAGCACAGCGGCGACGCTGCCATGGCTGGCGCGCTGCTGCGACTGCGGATGACTGCCGGCGGCATGACTGGCATGACTGGGATGACTGGGATGACTTGGCAGATGACTGGAGGCGGTGGTCGCTGCCGTCAAAGTGGAGGCTCTGGCCAGGCCACTGTGCCGCTTGGGTATCACAAACGGTGGCGGCGGCTGCGGCGTATATTGTGGCGGCGTGGAGTTGGCCGATGCCTGGCGCACAAAGGATCGGGCCGCCGGCACCGAGCCGCTCCTGGCAATGGCTCCCGTGCGTGGCGGTATGGCCGGCGGCGGACCAGGCGGCGGTCCGCTGCGTACCTTTGGCGGCGGTGAACTGATCGAGGCCAGGCTCTCCGTGGAAGGTTGAGAGGGTACGCGTGGCGGCAGCTGCGGCAGTTTTCCGGAAGCGGGAACAGAAACGGAAACGGAAGTCGAAGTAGCAGCAGGTGCAGGAGCAGTTACAGGCGTAGGAGAAGCCGGGGCCGGCGTCACATGGACTGGCATCCTGGCCTGGGGCTGCACCGTGGACATGGTTATGGTGGGCTTCTGCATGGGCACCGTGTGGCGGATGGAGATGCTGCCCGCCTGGCCCTTGCCGCTCATCCGGGCAGGAGCTGGAGCGGGAGAAGGAACAGGTGCTGGCTGCTGTTGCTGCTGCGTGGGATGAGGCGTCTCCCTTGGCTCCTTCTGCTGATCCCTCTGCTGTTCCTTCTGCTGTTGCTGCTGTTGCTGTTGGTGCTTCTGCTTCTGCTGGGCATGAATGTCCTGGATCTGCGGCGTGATGACCACCGGATTTTTCTTCTGATCCTGGCCAGCGGCCACGTAGGAGAATACGCACAGCACCGAGTAGCAAATCTGATCGGACTACGGAGCATATACGTGATTTTAAAGAGCTGTCATCCCATTTTGTGCATCAAATGGGAGTTTAAAATCCCTTTAAGGCTCGATACAGTCACAGAAATGGTTCCAAAATCAAAGGGAAATTAAGTTTTAATTTGGATTCTAAGTAATTAAGTTAATTATTGATACACTTTTGGAAATATCTCTGTAAACCTGCATATCAAGCCTGGAAATGAACAGTGTTTTTTTTTTTTTTTTGTGTTTTTGGTGAAGTGATTTGTGTTTTTGATATTTTAAAAGAAATCTTTATTTTATAATTGTTTTTCTTTTTTTTTTTTTTTTTTTGCACAACACAAAGGCAGCAAAGCATGCAGCTCGTAGAACAGTGAAGGTGGAACAACCAAAACTTAAGGGGAAAAAAGATGAAACTTAAAACTGGAAATCAAAGGAAAAACTGTAGAAAGTTTACACAAGAAAAGCCACAACATAAAAAAATAAGAACTCTTGTTCGTTTTTATGTTTCGATTGTTTGGTAGACAAGTGTTATTTCCCTTCTTTGCTTTTCATTTCTTATAAATGTGTTGGGAAGTACATAAAATATACAAAGGAGTTATACATAAAAAGGATTCGGATTTTATTTACATAGTTTTCTTTTTGGGGAGTGAAGAGAGGGTAGGCAATTCTAGGCACTTTTATTCCATTTACTCCCTCGGCGCTGCCTGTTCCAATTCCAATGATCCACTAGGCTCTTTGGCGGTGACTGTACCCCGATAGCGGGCGGTGGAGGAGCCATTGAGATGACAGATGTAGGCAAACTGCACGGAGGTCACGCGATGAAAGCTCAGCACGATTTCCGAGGCCTTTGGGTTTCAATTACATTCGATTCGGGGTTTTGTTTTTGTGATTTTTTTTTATTTTTTGTGATTGTTTTTATTATTATTTGTTTTTGAATTTTTCATCATGATTTTGTTGAAATGAGAGTTAGTGGTGTTTTGGTGTTTGTGTGTTGTTGTTGTTGTTGCAGGCATTGTTTGTTGTTGAGTTGTTGTTGTTGATTGTTGTTGTCGTTGTTGACATAGAAATATATTCACAGAAAACGAATGCAAAAAACAGAAACGGAAAAGAATAGTATTTATATTTATGAACGGAAACGGAAACAGAACGGGTAATAAAAAGAAAATCGAAAAACAAAGAATGATTATCGTTTATATCGTTGATATATACAAACTGTAGGTGCAATTGTAGGTGCCATTATTATATAAAGTAATTGAATACTTGCATATTCCATATATATATATATATGAAATATAAACAGATGTGTAAGGTTTGTACAGAAATTTGCACGATTAGGTTAAGTTTATGTACAGTTAATCGATAAACGATTGTGCCGCAATTGAAACGGAAGGGGATGCAACTCGGAACAAGTGGTGAAGGGAGAGTAAGATATATATATATAGAGTGACAGAGAGAGAGAGAGTACGAAATATGGCTGTGGTGGCGAATTGTGGTGAGTTGTGTGCTGAAGGGCTTACAGTACTTACCATGCTCGACTGGTACTTGCGCTGGATGAGATTCCGGGTCTTGGGATCTGCAAAAGATAAAAAAACCATTGTTTTCCAACTTGTGATATATATATAGAATAGAGTACTTACTGTACTCCTCCAGCACAAAGATGCCGCCCTTCTGGGTGAAACACTTGCGGATGTGGTCCAAGCGTACGAAGAACTGAAAATACGGGCGGAGAGGAGTCAGTTGGGCTTGATTCTTCTACGGTATGTTCAATTCTCCGGATTCAAAGGTTCCGTCGCGGAACAGAACGCAAAAAATGGAACATAACGGAGGTGGGGGGAAAACGGAACGAAACTCAAGGCAACAGAACGGAATGCAACTGAATAGAAAAGAGAACGGAAAGCAAATAATAAGGCGGTTCAAACAAAAAAAAAAAAAAGCTTTCACACAAATGAAAGACTGGTTGATAGGCAGAGAGCTGGGGGGAGTTAGACAGAGATAGATTTTGGAGAGCGTTGAAAAGAGATAGCATATACACACATGGGTGGTAAAATGTGATAAATAATATATTTTTTTTTGGGGGAGAGCAAAATGTTCTTTCCTTTTTTGTTCTTTGGTTTCTTTTTTTCGCTATTTATTTTCTATTTTGTGTTGTCAAAACAGTTACCAAAAAATCGGAATGCAACGCAACTCAACGAAACGAAATGAAAAGAAACGGAAACGGAAACGGATTATGCAAACATTAGCAGGCAGGCTGGCAGGCAAACAAAAACTGAAGGCTACGCAAGCGCATGGTTATAAAAACTCTATTTGAAAGACAAGGACACCAATAACAGTTAACGACATTCATGTATGTACACAGCACGCATCTAGTGTTTTTATTTCTTTTCTTTTTTTTGCTTTGGTGGTTATCAGTGCAACCAAATGGCATCGGAACGCAAGATAACAACGATCGAACGCAATATGAAATGGAACGGAATGGAAAGTAAAACGCAAAGAAACGGAACGGAACAGACTGAGAGACAGAGCGAGAGAGTTCGACAGATATAGAGAGAGAGAGAGACAGAAAAAGAATGCAGCAAAATCAAATGAAAGTTTGGTAATTAGTTTGGTTTACTTGATTTCTTTTTATTTCCATACATCTGACAATATATATTTACTGAGAGAGTATGGAATTCTTTTAATTGATTTTTGTTGTTTATTTTTTTGTTTTTGTTTTTTTTTTTTTGGGTGTGGAGGGATTAAAGGGGAATTCTAATTAGCACTTGTGAGATGGTCGCATACTAAGTAGCTTGGATTTTGGATACGAAGGCGTTGGTTCTAAGCATATATTTGTAGTATATATATTTACCCCAACTTTGGCACTAATACGAACGCAAAATAACTAAATTAAGCTACAGTGTGTTCGGTGTCCGAGTGTGTTTGTGTGTGTGTGTGTGTACTTCTCTAGAGAAGTTTGCTAGTATACAAAAAATTGTAAACACACTAAGGGGTTGGTTCTAGCAGGAGAGATCGGTTCTATTAGAGGATTGCTCCTTGTTTGGGCATCGTCCTCTTCCCGTTTTAGACTTGAAAAAGGGCTCGGCGGTACGGGAAATGGGAAATTGGGAGATGAGCAGGGGAACGGAACGAAACGGAATGGAATGGAGAAATGGGGCAGGCATAATTCGGCGACACATGTAACAGCATGCAGCACATGTGCCAGCCTCCACTAATAAAACTAATCCTCTTCGGTACTCTATGCTATGGTTTCCTTAGGCCCTTAAGAGGAAACGGAAACGGAACGAGAAACGAAACGAAATAGACAAATACAGGCTGGAAATGAGTGAAATAGAAACAGATTGAGAGAGAGAGAGAGAGAGATAGAGAGAGAGGCAGGCAGGAAGGCCTGGAAAGCGCACTTGGCATATCTTTTTATCCATTTTTTTCTAGCTCTTCATAAGGCTTGTCCTTGGTATACGCTTTCCTTCTTTTTGTTTTTTTGCATGTTTTTTTTATTGAATTTGGTATAGATTTTCTTGAAGTTTGCTTAATTTATAAACTAAAACTACGATTGATGTTCAAGTCTTTGCTATAACAACGTAACGCTACACAAGCAAACTGAAAATCATAACTAAGGAAAGTGTGTTGGGTCTATATATTATTTTGTTAATAACTCGGTGAAAAGTAACAAAATGAAATACAAATTCTGAGGCTGCTTTACCTTCCTAAACAAACGAAAGGATACGAAAAGCAATGGAATGGAACGGAAATTGGCGAAAAAGAAAACGGAATGAAACAGCACAGCCATTATTAGCATATCGTAAATTTCTGCTATTTCAGCCCTGATTGTGTAAGTTTGGTTGGCTTCAATATATGTAGAGCAGGAATATCTTGGTTGAACTCAATTCCAGACGGACCTGGACATATGCAAGTGTGGTGCGTATAATTATTATTATTTTTTTAAATACTGTGAGTTGTGGTGCATTCTCGACCCTGGCAAGGGGCTTTCGCAAGTAGTTGCACTTGAGGAAGAGTGGAGCGTGCTTGGTTGGGCATGCTAGGAAGCTCGAAGCTTAGATTTAGGTTTTTAGTAGCACACACGGGAGTGTGACCAGCTTCGGACGAGAAGGTGTGACCATGTGTGAACAGAAATAACGAGTGAAATGGAAACAAATCGATAACGACAAGGTGCTTCCGCAAAACTAAAAATATATATATATTCTAACGTTAATAGGCAATCGGTAATTCTGCATTTGGGTATTTAAATTCAAATTTATTTTAAAATTTAAATTTAAATTCATGTTCAAGTTCAATTCAACAAACAAACCAACTAACCAACCAACCAATCAATCAACCAACAGTTCAAAAACTAAAATCTCAGAGATAGAGAGAAACGTAAAAGATATATGTAGGTAAATAATATACATTATATATTCTTTTGGCCAGGCTGAAATTCAATATCAACTACAAATTTTTTGGTTTGCAACTGGTAATGCCTTTGGTTTACCTTTTTTTATTTCTCTCTTTGGTTTTTTTTGGGCGTGTAAAAGTGAAGGCTTAAATCAAATGGGAAATAATCCAACTTAAAACTCAAGAGCAACGCAAACTAAAATTATTTTCTATTTGTAATTATTATTTTTGTGAGGGGCTTTGGAGTGGCGGTGGGAATGGTGGGATGGGTTACGGGGGTGTTGGGTGGATAGCAGGGCTTTTAAAGAACAATAGTTGCTTATAAATTTAAGTTCAAATATAACAAGAAATTTGTTCATTGCAATACCTCGAAATCCTGTTTTTCAGATCGTATTTTTTATGATAGACATTTTTTTGATATTATTATTGGTTTATTTTTGTGTTTCAGAAGTAGACCAATCATTTGGAATAATGCGAATTGAGTTCGATTCGATTCATTTTCGGTTCAGTTCGGTTCGGTTCGATACGGATCGTGATATATATAGTTTTTTTGGTTGGTCCACAAAGAGGAGGGAGAGCGAGCAACGGTGCAGCGTTCCGCGATTAAACGAGCAACAAAGAAAATTATAAAAAGGAAAGTTGAGAAAAAACTGTTGTCAAAAAACGGTTTTTCATTCATAAAGTATTTTTGTTGTTTTTATCAATTTCTAATTTGCTGGCTGGATTTTTTGTTGTTTTCATGTATCAATTTTTTTTTTTTCATAATCATTTTGAATAGATTTTTGTAAATACTAAATAGAAACGATATGAAATGTGGCTGTTGTTGTTGTTGTTATGTTAGAGTCGCTTGCTTAATGGGGGTATATATATTTAAATATATATATATTTTTTAATGGGTATATCGGCTTTACAATGGCAATCATGGGTGGAGGGCACATGGCTACTATAGCTTACTTATTTGTTGTTTTTTGTACTTGTTGTTGTTTCGGTTATTATACTTGAGGAAAAAGGAAACAAATTTGGCAAGCATAATTGCTACCAAAAAGGTGAAAAGAACAGAAAAATAAATCTAAAAAAATTGGGAAACGAGAAGAAAAACTAAAAACGATACAAAAAGTCTTATATATCAAGTATATTTTTTTATAAAACACGAAAAATCGATAGAGAAGTTAGTAGTTAAAAGAGATACGGACAGAGTGGTAGATTTATATAAATATTTTTAAAATTTATATCTAAATTATAACAGAGTTTTAAGAGAAAAAATAAGTATACATCAAATGAAACAGAACAAAATAAGCAGGATTTTCTTTTTCTTTTTTTTTTTTATCACAAGGACCATCTCAAAAGTTACCAGCTTAGAATATATACTTTGTCATCTCGCCTTATTTTCTTTTTTTTATTTTTTATATTGCTTTCGTTGCATCACATTTTTCTTTTTCATATACATATACGAATATATATATATAGAGGGATGAGCTTTAAAGATTCAAATAGAAGGCAAATGAGCAGAACATAAAATACAACAACGAATAAACAAAATCAAGAAGGTATTCATCAGTGTTTTAACCATAAAAAAACACACACATAACCCTCAGTCTTTGTAGATTTCTATTTACAAGGAAACTAATAGCTTGTTAAAATAACCTAGGGACCTAGGCGACCTCATCTTATTTTATTTATTTATTTTTTTTTCTATCTAATGTGATTTAGTATTATAGTAGTAAATAGTTCTTATGGTAATGTAATGCTTATGTGGTGATAAGGGGGAACTTCCAATAGGTTACATACAAAAATGTATCGATTTTTTTTTAGTAATTCTTACTAACGATAATCGGTAATCGTAGGTCGGAGATCGTGAATCGTAAATTGTAAATCGTATAACGGTAAATTAGTAAATCGGTAAAAATCGGTAATCGTTAAATTGTTAAAATCGGTAAATCGGTGAAATGGTAAAATCGGTAATTGGTAATCACAGTTATACCAATTATATGAATGAGCTTAAAAAGATGACCTTATGAAACATATCAAACGGTGAGCATAAGTAACCAAACGTAAGGATCGTATAATCTATCGAAAAAGAAATATAAAAAGGGCTTAAAAAAGGGGTATAAGTATTTCTCTTGCTGTTGATTTTTTTTTTTTTTTTTTTTTGATGGCGTTATCATTGAATCGGTTAGATAATAAATAAAATAGAGATTATAATGAATACGGCATTCAGTACATTCACTAGCACAATATATGGGTATGATATAGATGGATTTTCTGCATATATATATATATTTTATTTGATTTGTTGTATTTCTTTCGCTTGGATCAAATAGAGATTGTATAAGATAAGAGATTCGATTGATTTTTCGATATATATTTTTTGGTGGATTATATAATGACGTAAGAGTATTAATACAAGTTAAATATATTGAAGAAGGCGAGTCAAAATAAAATGCCAAAACCAAAGCCAAAGAACCAAACGAAAAACGAAAGAGTCACAGAGAGAGAGAGAGTGATAAAGAGAAAGTGAGAGAGAGGTAAAGAATAATGCGTAGTTGGAGGTTTTTTAGCTTTGGGTTTTTTGGGGATATATAGGTGGGTCGGGCTTCCGGTCGGGTCTAACGAACTTAAACACTCGCAGGAACAATGGGACTGGGGACTGGACTCACTTCCGGCCTGGAATATGTTACAATATTTATATATATATTCGGTCCAGGTTTCTTTTTTTATTCCTAAGAATCTGTTTTTTTTTTCACAACGTTTATCGGAAAAGCACAAACTGAAAACCAAACATAATAAATATATATATATAGACATATATATATATATATATTATTATACATATAAATTTATATTGAGAAGGCCCTTGATCTTGATGCAGTCGATACACACACACAACAAGGAAATTATCGGGTTAATCGATCGAACTAATAGTTATCGTAAGTAAGAAAGAAAGCCAGACTGAAAATGAAACGAGAGAAAACTAAAGGTAAACTAAAGGTTAAGAGAAAGGAAACTCAACGAAATGAAACGACTGTAAATGAAACACTGAAACGTAGGCAGTGGGAGTATGTATCGATATATGGACAGATAGACGCGCGATATGTACTGATACCCATTTATTATATCGATTGTTGATCGATAATCCTCTAGATACTTTTTTCTGAATTTTCGGTTACTTCTTTTCTATAAACTTTGGATTATGTTCGTGCTAGTTATATTTTGTTACCGGGGGGGGAGGTTCTTCTGACTTGGAGTGTGTGTGGGAATGTACTTGTGTGTGTGTGTGTGTGTGTGTGTGTAAGTGTGTAAGAGGAGCACTAACTATAGTTCGGATTCGGAGCTTTCGTTTTCGTGTCTTAGTCTTGGGTGTAACTATGTATTTATAACTTTAGCTTGATCTTCAGTGTGTGTGTGTGTGGGTGCCAGGTGTTTTTCTTTTTGTTTTATTATTATTTTTTTTTTTTTGTAAGAGCATACACTCACCTTGCTGTTGGAGAACAACAAACCGACACCCTCGAGGCACACCTGCAGCAGGCCGCCCTCGCCCGTGTTCATGTCCTGGACAGGGAACTCGCCCCCCAACTCGGGCACATTGGTGGGCGTGCCGCCGCGCTCCATGGCCTCCTTGATGCAGTTGTACAGTTCCTTGCACTGGACAAAGGGAATTATTGATTGATTGAGTATTCAGTATCCTGCTTCGAGGAGGACCCACCTTCCTTGTGTAGTACTTGTGCAACTGGGTCTGTCCGCCGTTGCGGCGCCACAGGCAGAGCAGCTTGGTCTTGGGCGAGTAGGTCATGTTGACCAGCCGCTCGTACCACCAGCGCTCCACAATGGTCCCGTCGACGGATCGCAGGACCAGTCCATCGTCCCGCACCTCCATGAAACGCAGCGGACCATTGACATCGGTGCCCTGGTGAACGGTGAAGCTCTGGCGGTGCAGCAGCCGGGAGCCAAGTGGCTTCAGATCAATATCGTTGCCGTTCTGAGCAGGGGAAACCCAAGTTAAAATCAAGCTCCAAGGCGATGCACGCCTCCCTCTAAAACTCACCAGATTATTGATCTGATCGACCACATTGTGCACCTCCTGGGAGTAAACGAGTCCGATGTGGCTCTTGCCGAGCAGGCGGCGAATCTTGCGCCGGATCTCGTCCTTGGTGACATTCAGCATCACCAGGATGGCGGTCAGGTTGTACAGCATCGTGGAGAGCAGTCGATCCTCGTCGTGCTCGAGCCGCTTTCTTTCCGATTCGCTCAGTGACTTGTAGCGCTCCATCATCTCAATGGGACCCTGGATTGTGTCCAAGTAGATTCTTGCAGGAGGAGTAGGAGGAGCCTTTGTCCCACAAAACTCACCTGATCCATGCCAATCATATCCCGCTCCTGGCTGACAGCATCGAGGAAGGCATCCTCCCAGAACTGCATTTGGTTCCACAGATTCAGGCGATCCTTGCCCAGCAAGCCCTCGAACAGATACACCCGCGGACTGTCCGGCGACGGCGAGGATGAGGTGTTGATCAGGTGTCCGCCGGTGTACCGAAAGCCGGCACTCAGCGTCGACTTGCCGGACCACAAGTTGCCAGTGCTCTTCTTTGAGTCCTTTGAGGTGGTCGTCTGCAAGGTCGGTTTCATCATTAGTAAATCAAGGTTTTGTGGGATTTGGGTTCTAGGGTTAAGGTCCTGGATGGCAGGGGACTCTCTACAAGCCTGATTCGTTAAATGTGCAAGGGGTAGGGTAGAAACACCTATCTAGATTTATAACCTGCTCAACCTCCCCTTTTTTAGGAACTCTCCATAACATTCTGAACATTCTTCATAAATTAAGTCACAACCTCCTAGACTCTGGCCCGGATGTACTTACATTTTCGTACTCCGTGTCCGAGACTGTGGACCGGCAGCTGGAGGGCAAGCGAACAACGCCCAGACTGACCACGGAGAGAGCGCCCGTGGAGCCGGCAGCCTACGGATTACATACGGCCTGTTAGAGAGCTCTACAAACGGATGGGTGGATTGCGAGGTTGCGGGGATTACGTGAGGCGAGGGTCAGGTCATTAGGTTGCAGCCATATATATGTTACAACTGATAGATACTGATTGATACTGATACAAGCTAGTTGGTACTGGGTGGCCTCTATACACTGAAATGCCGATAAGCGATGCTACATACGATATATACGATATACGATAAACGATTTACGATTTACGATTTACGATTTATATACACTGAGCAATTTACAGGAGTTTTTTGGTGGAGAGCACTTGATGAATGGACGCAACTAGGTGTGGACACTACGACTACGGACTAGGGACTAGGGACTACCCTGTATACTCACATCCGAATCGAACGAGGTGAGCATATTCTTCAAGGCACTTCTCTTCTGCGACAGCATATCCTTGAACATCTCCGTGGTCGACTGGCCATCCTGGCTGTCCGTCGACGAGAGCCTTCGATTTGGTGGGGCACCTCCAGACGCAGGCATCGGATGGGCGGTTGAGCTCTTGCGGGACTCCTGCGGCGATGCCCATTCACTGCCCAGGCCCGAGTGCGAGCCATTGGGTGAGCTGGGCGAGCGTAGGTTCTCCCGGCTGCCCATGGGACTGGCCGCATGGCTGGAAAGCAGGCTGGAGGACATGTCGCTGCCCTCGTGGATCTCCTTGCTCCAATAATGGGTGTGCGCCACCTCCATCAGCTGGAACACGGAGGCCATGCCGCCCAGGCCAAAGTTACCAAAGGTCACATCCAAGCCGCCGGCAATGGCCTGGACGCACTTGAGCATGCCCTTCCACACGGGCTTTGTCACGCACTGGAAATGGGAGTAGAGATTCTTTAAAATCCTTGAATTGGGAAGGGAGAAAAGGTGACCACCCACCACATCGTCTATGTGATCATCTGGGGCTATCTTCTTGTCCAGCGTCTTATTGAGCTTGCTGAGCACCAGGGTGCGATAGGACTCGTCCTCCATGAGCTTCTTAAACCGATTGAGCTTCAGCCAGCCAACGCCCTCGCCGGCCAGCACCTGATTGGTCACATCCTTGAGGAAGGCCTGGTTCTCGGCATTGCTGTGCGAACGCTCTTGGTTCTGCTGGCGGGTGAGCTCCTCCTGTGTCTGCCTGGGACCCGAGTGCTTGATCAGAGGCGTTCGCTCCACGAGTCCTTTGCGGCCGGGAAATGGGTCAAAGTTGATGCCGGTCTTGCTTTTTACAGAGCCACCAACACTGGCGGCCGGCTTGTGGGGCACAGGAGCCTGCTTCTGCTGGTTTTCTGTGATGTGGAGTGGTTATTTCCTTGGCTTCGTTACCAGATTCCCAACGAAACTTACTTTTCCCAAACATGCCCGAGAACATGGTGGATGTGGACGAGGCCAGGCCATTGAAATCGGTGCCAATGGAGGAGAAGAAATTATTGCCACCGCCACCGCCCGAACCGCCACTCTGCTGCACTTGCTTCTGTGTGGCCAGCTGGGAGCCAGGCACCTTTGGCGGTGCCATGGAGACCGCCGCCATGGGATCTCCTCCGCCGGGATGCTCTTCAATCTTGATGATGCCCTTTTTGGTGGCCGCCTCCTTGGCCGTCTTGGTCAGATCGCCCAGCGTCGACTTGCCCACATAGGTGAGATCCTCAAGGGTATTCTTGCTCACCCCGGCCGCCTGTTTGGACACCTCCAAAGCCTGCTTGGAGGCCTCGCCCGCTGCCTTCTTGGCGTGCAGCGTGAACTGTGGACCCGAAGGAGGATGAGAGTTAGTGATGGCAATGGAGGAGGGAGGGTTATAGCTACGTGGTGGTGCTAAGTAACAATCAAAGCAAGGTCCAAGTCCCCTGGAGGACGAGGACAAGGACTACGGTCCCAAGTCTACAAAATGACACTATGAGTTCCCATGACGATATCGGTGGAGGATGTGGATGGGAGGAGCAAGGATGTTTGGGTGACCACAAAAAGGTGGTAAAAATCAAATATGAGAGCTGAGTGATGGGAGAATATATTTAAAATACGAAAATGTATTTAAAAATAATATTAAAAATATGAAAAAATATTTGAAAATAATATCAAAAAGATGAAAATCAAGGATGCTCAGTTTCTATGTATATGTATTTATTTAGACTCTTATGTTGTGTAAATATGTATGTAAAACTTACATCATTTGATGATGTAAACGATGATGGTGTTGATGTAGAAAGGATGTGGCGTTTGTGGATGATGAACGAATGTAAGAATTGTGAGTATATTAAATGGACTGGGGATTGTGCGGAGTGGGAGTACCAACCTTTTCGAAGGTATGACGCATTTTGTCGTCAAGATCTTCGTCCAGCGCATGCTATACAGTACGGAACATTCATGTCAGGTTGCAGTTTTCAACCAACCAACGCAGAAAATAAACAAAACCAAAAAAAAAAGAAACGAAAAATTAACAGAAAAAATATAAGAAAATAGAAATGAACACATTGAGAGTACACAACACACACTCCTTTCAATCCCTTCCAGCTTTTCCGGCACCTAGACTTACCTTGTCCACGTGGGCCAGCAGACCCTCCTGGCTGCTCTGCCTGGTGGTCTCCCGCACCAATTCCTTGGCGTGCGAGGCAAAATTCTCGAACAGAGAGCTCTGCGAGCTCTGGCGACCCGGACTGCTCGAGCTGGAGCCAGAGCTGCCCGTCCTGGCCAGGATGTTGCTCACACTGGGCTGCTTGACGGGAGGCGTCAGTGGTGGCTAAATAAACAGAAAAAACTAGAATTTGTTCCCCGATTGTAACCCTTTGAGCCTACCGGAATCTTCTTCTCATGCCGCTCCGAGTCACTGGGATGACGCTGCAGCTTTGTCATCGGCTTGCCGCTGCTGCTGCTGACCGTGTCCGGCTCCTGCTCGATACTGGCCATCTTAATGGTAGCCTCCAGACGCATGGCCAAGGGTGTGGCCAGCTCGAAGCTGGGGCCAGATACCCCTGCACCTCCCGCACCCACCGAACCCGCCTGTCCCTTTGGCTGGAAATCAAACTCCGAGTCGCGATTGAAGCTGGGCGAACTGAGATCCGAGCGACTGGAGGACGAGGACACCGGACTATCCGCCCTATCCTCATCATCCTCCTCTTCCTGAGCTTTGATGGCCGCCGCCGCATCGGCCGTGCCCTCGGGATACTGCAGCTTGCTGGGCGGATGATACACCAAAGCCGGATCCAGATTCGAGGACAGCGTCTGCGGCACCACATGCGGCCGATTGTAAGAGCCAAAAACGTCATGGAGGCTGGGCGACAGATCCGAGGAGGCCATCTCCGAGACAAAGTCACTCAGGGAGCTGTACGAGGAGCTGCTGCTGTCCGCTCCCTCCGAGTCCGAGCCGCTCTCGTCCGTCGGCTGGCACTCCAGTTGCTTCAGCGAGCGCAGGGCACCGTTCAGGGAGCTGCCATCGTCCCAAACCGAAAACCTAATGGGTGTCAGGGCATGGGCAAACCATTTGGGCTTGTCCCCCACCTGCATCGGGTCCATCACGCCAGTCTGGACACGTAGAAAGGCCACATTTGTGGGCGTCAGCGACCATTCCGCCAGGAACTCCACCGCTTGGGTCCGGGCGAATTGATTCAGGAACACCGAGGCCCGTGGCCGGGACCTGAGGAAACTGTTGATCTGGAAGGCCACCACGGGACGCGGATACAGACGCAGTGTCCGGGTGTGTTCCGCGAAATTGGCCAGCGTATTCTGGGCGTTGAAAAAGCGCACCATGGCCACCCTGGTGGCCACGTCCACAGAGTCCACATCGGTGCCATAGACAAAGGGATTGAGGGCCGGCGAGTTCATGGGACTGGGCTGACGGGAGTTCAGGGCGCCCTGGTTGGACACGGAGTTCCGTTGGCTAGCCTGGGCCGAGTGCGGTGGCGTTTGCAGAGGAAGTCGCACTTGGGATACCCTGTTTTCGGTGGGAAAATTATTTTTAAAATAAAAAAAATGATTTATTTCCAGCTCTAGTATGTATTACTTACCCCAGCAGCGGTGGCTCCTGGAGACTGTCCCTCACCGAAGGTAAAAGCTGTTGCGAGGACACCGCCTGATTGGTGGCCGTCATCGAGGTAAGAGCCTGTGGAGCGGTATCGGAAGGATATCATCAGTAAGCGCTCTGATCTTCCCGGAGTAATCTCTAAATGGGTCCTTCAACTGGGCTAACTATGGGATTCTTGTACAAGGGATACTTATTTCAAGGGTCTTGAGGCTACTTCAGTTACTGGAATTTACAGAGAAGGAGTTGGGGAGAGAGAGAGACATAGAGAGCGCGAGAAAGAGGCATGCACACGAAACACATAGTACTAAAGACAGCGAGAGATATATATAGGTAGTATATAGGGACAGATATATCACATATATCGCGTAGGGAAATCCCAAAACCTAGGCCTTGGTTTATGGATAATGACTGATGACAAGGAATCGAAGTTATCGATGGATTTGATATCAACTTTCTCAGCTCTAATGTAGGCATGCGGTTAGTGCTCTCTGGCCTCATATATATATTATATATAGTCTCAGATCTGGAGTTAGTATATTTTTATGGATTATGTTTTAGTATGTACAAACGCTTTCAACTCAAATTTAACCATAAAAACGATAAACCATAAACGATAAACCAAACGTAGATAAACTCGATTGCGAACGATATTTACACCAAGTCCAGCTTCGTCCATCAATAGCATTGCCTGCCCATGTGGTTGTTGTTGTTTAACGATAGTTGTTGTTGTTGATGTTGATATTGATGTAGTTGTTGTTGTTGTTGTTCAAGTTGTGATCAAGTATAACAATATACATTTGTATATATATCATATATATAATAGATAATGCATGAGTGTCAAAAGTATTATAGCCATAAAGTAGAGACAGAGATGGGGCACACATCGATATATAGGCGCAGAAAGAAAAGCAAAAACACAAAGAAAGTAAGTAAGAGAGAGGTAGAGAGAGAGAGAGAGAGTTGTACAAGTGTTTTGCAGAAGTTTCTCAGTGGGGGGGAATTTTTTATTTAAAAAATAGATATATATTAAAAAATCAAATTAAAACACTGCCGAACAGCTTTCTTTATAAATATTCATTAGGAGTCTCCATTCACAATTAGATTTATATTTATATATCGAATTAAATCACACCAAAGTCGATTAATGAGCAGCGATAACGATTTTGTGACAACGATAAACGATAGCAGCGTTAGGTAAACCAATGCATTTGCTCTTCGAATTAATTTTCTTTCTTTTTTTTAGATATTTAAAATAAAGTTGAAGTGGAGCAAATGCATTTGAAATATTCAATGATCAATGAACACACATTTATAAATCTTATATTTTTTCTATGCTAGAAATTCACCCAGTAAATTTTTGAAATTTCACAGACAACCTTTGTTTTCCCACTCAAAGTATTGACTCAACAGCAGTCCAGTTCTCGACCAGTTTTTTTGCAGTGTAAAGAGTCATGTACAGTCCCCACATTGCCCTGATGTCCGCCGTGCAGGCCGTTGACCCCCGAAATCCGGCCAAGCTGCGCTTCGGACGCCGCGACTCGGAGGCCAGCTTCACGGACCCGCGGCTGGAGCAGCTGATCGTCTACCGGGCCCTGCTGGAGAACCTGCTGCAGCAGAAGATTCACTATGAGAACGAGGGCGAGATAGAACGGCAGCGTCTGGAGAGATTCCGCAGTGAGGGGGCCGACCAGCGCCAGCTCCACGTCCAAGAGCAGGTGGTGAAGAAGGCACAGGCCCTGCTGCCCGGCATTGTGTTCAAGATGCGCAACGAGGTGGACAAGCTCCAGCGTTTCCTCAATCCCACCGAAGGCCAGGAACATGAGTTGCGCCAACTGGACGCTGAGCTGTATGACCGGAGCTGTGATCTACTCAAGAAGTGCCAGCTCTGTCTGGAAACCCTGCAGTGACCCTGCCCCAACTAGTATTTTGCATTCATGCCAAAATTGAACTGTGACCCCAACAAGAAATTAAAAATAAAGTAGACAAGTATCTGGAATTGCTGTCCAGTCACTTCTTCATTGGAAAACAAAGTTTGAATCACATTTTCCTGACTTTATGGATGAATTTCCAGCATTCGAATACCGTATTCTCTTTCAGATTATTTTATATACAGGGGTTACTTTCGGGATGATCTTAGCGGATCCAGGGGGCTTACCTGCTTGAGGTGATTCTTCAGGATGGTGCCCTCGGGCTCAGGTAGCGGTGGTATTTCCTCGTAGCCACCCGTTGGCGGCGTCAGTTTGGTGGAGTCCAAGTCCACAACCCAAATGTCATCAGGTAAGCTGGAAAAACCCCACAGAGAGTTACCAATAAGTATTTGGTATACCAATTATTTAGCTTACCGGAAATTCTTCTTGTAGACCAGGAACGAGGCTGGCACACCTATCACAAAGGGCGTGGGCGCCAGGAGCAGCTGCTCTGCACAGCTGAGACAGGTGGGCAGCAGCGGTATCACCGGGAACATGTATTCCAACGGATATAGCATCGTGACAAAGGCCATCACCGACATGGAGAGGGCATTATAGTCACGCGACTGGAACAGTACCTTGTTCTCCTGCATGATCAGTGTCCAGACCTTCAGGCAGGTCTCCACGCCGAGCAGCTCCAAAGGCAAATGGAGGGGGAAGTCCACCAGCGAGAATCGAGTGTGGTCGGGCAGGGCGAACAGCAGGGGTTCGTGCACCGTCGGTGAGAGCACCTCCACCTTAAAGGGAACAAAAAATAATATAGAATTTTAGATTCTAAATTAAAATTTTGGCAACAGGTGGCCAGGTGTATTACTTTTTAGACTTGAAACTTTCTAGGAAAAATTCTTTATTTTCTCAAACTCTCTTACAGATTTATTGTTATTTTTTTTATAAATTTTCTATCTAAATAGTTATTTTTTATAAATAAAAATAATACATGGCGTATGAGTAATATTTTATTTAATAAATATCAAGTATACGCGCTGTGACTGTTTTTAAACGCCCAAAAAAATCTTAAAAATTCCTACCAACTCACCTCGACTCGCGTGGACCCCGGCACTGGCACCGGCGTGGACAGAAGCCTCAATATCCACGTCTCAATCTCCCGCACATCATGCAGAACGATCGAGGGCGTCGCCTCGCTGGCATGTCCCGTCAGCACCGTCCACACATTGTCCCTGTTGACCTTCTGCGAGGCACCCACTCGCTTGGGTGACGAGGACTCGTTGCAGGCATCGATCAGCTTCTTCAGGATGAAGAGGCACTCGCGGAAGGTGGTAAAGAACGGGTGATGCGAGATGATGCACAGCGAGGTCAGCGACTGGTTGCGCAGCTTCGTCCGCTTCCGCGAGGCGCGCGGCGATGGCGAATGACTGCCACCGGACTCGGAGTCTGCGGATGGGGCCATTAGGCCCAGTTTCGGCACTGCCGCCGCCGACGGATGATGCGACTGCGACTGGGATTGGGACTGCTGCGAGTGGTGGGACTGCGACTGATGCGAGTGGAGGCGCTGCTGGTCGGAATCCCGGCGAGAGGTGAGTTCACGGTCCGAATCGCTGGGCGCTACGTTACTTCTGTAGTCGCTAGAAGTAGTTAAGAGGCCGTAACTATTATGGAAATGGTTTGAGATAGGTTAGACTGGCGTCGCTCCACCGGAGCACACCCGGGAGTAGTCCCCTCTAGGTGTCCACTCCGCTGGCAAACACACAACACTTGCCTGCTAAATGCCGAGTCGGAGCTGCGCTCCATGCTCTTTCGCCACGATTCGCGCCGAAAGGCCGAGGACCGCCGGCCACCGCGTCCACCGCCGCCGGCGCCGCCACCAGCGCCCGCACCACCGGCTCCACCATGACCACCAGGTCCACCATTGCCGGCTCGATCACCACCAGCGCCCGCTGCCACCGTGCTGGGACGCTCGATGGGTCGATAGAAGTTTACACAGATGCCATACCGTGTCTTTCCCGAGTCCTTGTCCGTCAGGGCAAACACAAAGGAGGTCATGTCTCGGATGGCGGAGCCAGTGCGTCGCGGTCCAACGCTGGTGCAGCCCTCCGGCTGGCAAAAGTAGACCATGTCCAGGGGCAGCGGGAAGTCGGCATGGTCCGAGGGCGGGTAGCGACGTAGCAGATCCGGCACCTAAGCCATAATTCATAGAATTGTATATATATATATTTTTAAGGTAACCATTGATGGCTGCTTACCTGCACGGGCGGGGCCTTGAGGCCCTGCAGCCCCTTTGGCATCGGCGGCGTCGTATGGGCACCCACAATGGCCATGTAGTCCACCAGCCGGGGACACAGGGAGGCTTTCTGTTGGTCCGACATCCTGGAGTTGGATTGTGTATGCTACGGATAAAGATGTCTTTAAATATAAACCCTAAATATTACCCTAAATCAGAACTAGAACCCGTTGGGAATTATAACCAAAAACCTTAAAAGTAGGCAATTGTTTTTATTTTTGTATTTATTTATTTATTTATTTAATTTTTTCTTTACTTATTTATTTTACTTATTATCTTTCCCCTTTTCTAGTATTTGTTTAAATTTCAGTCTGATCCTTCTCCTCGTTTTCCCCATCAAAATTAATCGTGTCCCCTTGGAGCCAAAAGAAATACAAATATTTTCGGGGGTTCAAGCCAGTCAGTCAACTCTCTCTTGGCCTTCTCTTTGTTTGCCCAATGACCTTGCCGCTGGCAATATAATCGGTTTGGCATCCCGAGGAGACCAAAGCCCAGAAAATTGAATGTCAAAGCGGAGGCACAATATATATTTTAAAGTTGCAAATCACAAATTGCAAATATATATATACCAACACCCCCATTGACGTCAACAAATATACTTCCAGTGGGGGCGTCCGTGAGTCTGTCTCCAAAGAATGCCAATAAAATATATATATTCAGTACTTGGCATGCCAATCCCTCGATAATGCCCCACGTGGATGTGGCCCCCAAGGCCAATTGAGGAGGAACCTCCTCGACAACAGGGGAACGAACCATCATCATTCGTCATCGGATTAATCTTCAGGCTGAGAGTTAGTCAAGTAATTTTAGCACCAATTAAGGGTGCCCAAGGTGAGTCGTACCTTAAGTGAGGGATTACCCAGTGCAGGCGCGAAGGAACCCACTTTAATATCTCTAATAGCACTCGAATCAAGGACCTTGATGTCGACCTCGAGGGATGTACATATAAAATAAGAGCTCTTAGGGAGTGCAGCTGCCTCTTGTCTATTTATCTTCACAAATAAAAATAGTTTTTATATATTTTTAATACATTTTCTCCCTTGAAAACCCTAAATTTCTGGTCCATGTCCTTAAAGCAAAGTGTTTGTTAAGCCCTCTAAAAAAGTTTTCGCGCACACACATACCTCTGGTCAGTGGACCACTGGGCTCTGCCCCCCTACCCACCCACAACTACCCACTTAACATCCACCACTAGCCGTCGCCGTCAGGGCGAATCATGTCAAGGCTACGGATGCACTTACCCCACACAACAACAACAAAAAGAAGAAGGAAAAACTCATTGAAGGGATGCCACTTTGCCGCCCACAGACCGCAGACTCCGCGAAATGACATCAGCCTGGATGTGACAGGCGCACTCCCTTTACCATTCCCATTCCCATTCCCATTCCCACTCCCATTTCCCCTTTCTCTCCTAGTTCCTTGCCCATTTTGAGTTCCCTTCCGATTCGAGGTTAAAAATAGTCAAGGGTTTGCTGGAGCGAGACTGTCATTAACCGAAAAATGAAATCATCCGGAGATGAGGCGCGTGGCCACGTTCTTCGTTTTATGATTGCAAGGTTTCAAATGGCCTGCTGGTCAGTTACTTGAGAAGTTCTTGGCCCAAAAGAGGTTTAGCAAGTGAAAAATGTAAAGCTTTTCAATTTAAAAAGAGAACTAAATGGTAAAAATCAGCCAGAAGTTGATATTTATACGAAATTTTGGCTGAACTTCCGCGCATTAAGAGGAGAGACTTAAAGGAGATGTTATGGTATTTAATTTTTGTTTAATAAATGTTTTAAATTTTTATTATGAATGTCCAATATCTTAAGAATATTTTGTAAAAGTTTCACATCGATCATAACAAAATTGACAAAATTATGCGGAGTTGAACAGAGGTCGTTAAAATATTGTCTTACTATATGGTATTTAATTCATTAACCTAACTTTAGCCATTGCGCCACAGCTAATTTTTTTGAAAAGTGACCCGTTTTGCAGCCTCTCCTTAAGGAAAGCTTATACCGGAAATATACGTATATTTCCTGCTTTAGTCTGTTGTTTGTGAAATGCCCAAAGGGAGTCCCATAACAATGCCATATAAAACAAATAAAATAATAAACAAAGCATTTCTCAACGTGTAGCTGGCAGGCATTCCGTATTTATCGTCCTGCCAAGCGCATCTCCTTTGCTGAATTAAGCGAAAAAGAAAAAGGGAAAGGCTTAAGAGAATGGAAACAGAGGGACTCCTGCTCATCTTCACCAGCTTTTTGTTCTAAAAAAGCTCTCCTGTCACCACTCAGGCCACTTAAAGTGTCTGCCAGGCTGTCAGTCAGTCAGTCTCCCTCCTACTCCCTACTCCCTAAGCGGGAGTGCACGTGCCACTGCAGCAGCAAGAGCCAAAAGGAGATGGTCTCCTCCATCTAGAGGCCCATCTTAAAATCAATAAAAGGCTCGGCAATTGCATTCCCTGACAACAAGCCGAAGCCACATTATCAGCAGGGCATACGTACATAGATAATCCCGTACATCCAAGGCCAGGCCACAAAGGCTGATGCCCAATGGGTCTTATCATTCGGATATCAACATTCCCGGCCAAATATACATATATACACATAATACAGTGGCTAACAAGGCATTAGGATTGCAACTACTTTTATAATAACTATTTTTAAAATAATTTTAGAAATTCTCCAAAGATCAATGATAAGTATAAGATAAGATGAGATATTCTTATTATTTTATTTTTATTTTATTAATTATTATTTATTATTAAGGTTTCGGATGGGGAAAAATAAATTTCTAATAAATATAGGTAAATAAACAAACGAGATTTTAAAGTTTTCAACATAATATATAGAGTAAAATAGTTTGTTATGTATTTAATTTGAATAAAAACTTATAATAATTTCATTTTTTTAAGATAGAAAGAAAGGAGCAGTTTTAATTTCCTAAAATATAATATATTAAACATGCATAAACATTTTTAATGTCTAAAATAACACAATTTCATGGAAAACAATTGTTATATGAGATCTCACTTATATAAATCAAAATAAAATATTTAAACTAAAACATATATTCATATATTGAGTTTAAAATACTATTTTATTCCCCACATTCTATAGAAAACTATTTCTACCATAGAGACAAGTCATTTAGGTTTTTTTATTCTTGGAAGCTAATAACTTAACCGCAGCTGTGGCGTATACACACATAAACACGCTGTTTGGAATGCCAAAAACAACAACAAAAACCCGGGAACAAGCAATATGCTAAGTGAAATGCCTTGAATGTCGGGTTTTTTGTTCTCCAACCAAAAAAAAAAAAAAAAAACAACACTCCCGCATAAATTCCTCAGGCTCTCGCTGAAAAGTATGCTACAAAAATTTCGGCCCAGAAATATATGCGCAGAAGGCACACACACACGCAAGTAAGTGTGTGTGTGTGTGTGTGTGTGTGTGTATGCGAAATGTGGATAAAAGGGGGAGGGACAAGGCTAAGCAGCAATGACACACACACACATACGCACACTCTCACTCCCCCACCGAATTTGTACGCTCTGGCGTACGCAACAAGGTCACTGGAAAAATCGTTAAGAACGAGCCAAAAAAAAAAAATAATAAAAATACACACGAAAACAATGTTATACACACATGTGTGTGTGTATTTTCTTTAACTTAAACTTACCTCTTAGTCCACTAATTATTGTTGCTTATTTCAGTTAATCAACGTTGCTTTCCCTTGCATTCTGCTTGACATTGTTCACTCTCTCCTTCTCTTGCTTTTCACTTGCCAAATTACCACTATTTTCTCTTATTTCTTATGTATCAAAGCGTGTGTTCTTTTTTAAACAAACAAAAAAAACAACAACAACAAGCTACGAAACATAGGTAACGCTTGAAATTAACAGTAACTGCCAGAGCTTTGTATTTTGGGCTCTAGATTCAGGATTCAGGAATTCAGGCACAGGCTCTGGCTCAGGCTCGGGCTCGATTTAGCTCTCGTGGTCAGTTGCAGGCTAAGGACTCTCTCTCTCTTGCCGCTCCTGTGCTGCGCCTTGGTGTGCCTCCTGCTTTTGCTCTGGCTGTGCTAGCTGCGCGCTGGCCGTGGTGTGACTGATTTTTGTAGTCGTCGCGCCAAGCAGCAAAACCAAAGGACGCCAGCCAACCGACCATACTCCACCACACCATGGCCACACCATGCCGCAGCAGCGAACCAGCCACACAGAGAGAAAAATATAGCCAAAATAATATCGGAGAGATTGATTTTTTATCATTGAAAGGATAAAAATCAAAAGAAAATAGTAAAAAAAATCGTAGCAAAACTATTAAAGAAAATTTGTTGCTAATTAGGAGAAATTGAATTATATAAGACTATTTCTCTCTGTGCCCTCCCTTTTTTATTTTAGAAATATCATTAAAAAAGGTTCTAAAAAATTTTTAAAAATATACAACAAAATTAGTTCAGCGTTCTTTATAATATTTTCTATGTACATCTCTCCCTGTGCACTCTATTTATATTTTAGAAATACCACTAAATAAGGTAAGCAAAAATTTTAAAAATATTTTATAAATTATAAAATATTATACAATTCATTCCGAAGTTTTCCTAATATTCTGTATTCTCTCTGTGCACTCCACCCCCAAGCCCCGTTCCTGCTGAGGCGCTACATCCCCGCACAGTCGCCACTGCAATACGCGTGGTGGTGTTGAAATTCCTACGCTCTGGGGGCTGGAAGTGGGCCGAGCCGAAAGGCAGCCCGAACAGCAGTCCATGCCGCACTTGTTGGATTCTTGTCCAAAGGCCGCCCACTGCGCATGTCCCGCTGAGCTGACGTCGCTGCCTATGTCGATGCCGCAGCGGTGTTGCCTGTTTAGGGGTATTTTTCACATAAAAGTTGGCTTTAGCTTTTTAGATATTAAATTAAAATAATTTTTAAGAAACTAATCTAATGGTTTTCTTTTCGAAATTTGTGCCGCTAGAATTCCCAAATGGTTCTGGCTTTGGGAATCCGCTTGTAAATTCTTGGAATAGGCTAAGAGCCACTAAAAATATATATAATTAATTTATAAAAATTAAAAAAATATAAAATTAACCAGTTTTCTATATTATATATCCAGCTAGATTCCAGTTAATATTATCGATATGAGAAGCTGACAGCACAGACTTGCTGCTGCCACGAGGAAAGTAACGTGCGCTCGGTGCGTATGCGTGATGATTGCCATGAATGTGGGAAGGTGACCGTGTGTTTCTGGTGGCCCTGGAGCGCGGAGTGGAGGCCACGGGGATTCGCGGAATTGGGGAATGACGGCGGGAATGGACTAAATGGAGCCCCAAATTAAATTACACATGCTGCAAAACAAAAAGTTGCAAAACCGTGTACATACTCGTGTAGCAGCCAGCAGTAATGCAGGTTTACAAACCAGAAAAGTGTTCTTAAAAACTTGCATAAGTTGGGATTTGTTTTTTGAAATGGGTCTTTAAAAAGGTCTTGAATTTAAGGCTGTGAAAAATTGTATAGGAATTAATTTTTAAAGAATAAACGTATATTTTTTTAAAATATTTTTCTGTTGATTTTCAGCAAAACAGTAACAGACTTTGGTTTGCTTTAAATATTAAAATATAAAAATATTAAAATATTCAATAAAATATTCAATTTAATTCCTTACATTACTTAGAAAGAAATTGTTTTTTTTTTAAAATTCCGGGAAACCACTGAAAACTCCCTGAAACCTCGAATTCCCCAGCTTCTCAGAACCCTCGGCCAGCATCGAATTAGGCCGCTTAATTCGAATTTAAAAGGTTCCACAGGTAGGCCAAGCATGAAAAGGCCACAAGGGCAAAAGTTGTAAGCAAATTAGGAAAACTTTGCAGGCCACTTAGGCCTGCCTCCCTACATAATGCATTATTCCACATGCGAGAGATACATTCACATAAACCGTTCTGGATATATTTATTGGACAGCCATTAAAACAAAGCTTTAAAATAAATGCACACGCACGCCTACAGTCAAACTGTAGGCCAAAGCCACAAACTGGCATTAAATGCTGGTTAACAAGGAGTGGAGCGAGCCAGCGCCATGTGCGCCAGGAGCTTAAAGTAATCGAGGAGCCGCTCAGAGCAACTGCCTCCTATAAATGCACATTTTTCGGGGGGGGAGGATATGGCGGCAAATGGCCTGGCTCATTCGTAGAGTTCCACACAAAAAGAATCAAAAAAATATATACGTATATAGTGTCTAGATAAATGCATCGGGTGGGGGTGGGAACAGCCTCATCGTCGTCCACTACTGGAGCAGGAAGAGAGCGGGCTGCTCCAGATACTGCTTCCAGACGTTCGAGAAGCTGGCCATGGTCACACCATCGATCACACGATGATCGGCGGACCAGCTAACGCTCATCACATACGCCTTCACGACCTCGTCCTTGTCGTTGAAGCGCGGCACCGCCTTGGTCCTGCCCATGGCTCCGATGGCCACCTGGGGAGCCATGATGCAGGGGTGCGTGTAGGTGCCACCAATCTGAAACGAATTTGAAGCTGCAACTCAAATCTCAACGCAGGACTCTCGGGTTTACTTACAACACCAATGTTCGACAGCGAGAAGGTGCCGTCGGCAAAGTCCGTGGGCGTCAGGGAGCCAGTGCGTCCGCGCTCCACCAGAGCATTGAGATCCCTGGCTATCTCGATAATGTTCTTCGCCTGACAGTTCTTAATGTTTGGCACCACGAGACCCTGGGGCGTGTCAATGGCCACGCTTATGTTGTGGGCACCCCTGTAGATCAGCGACTCATTGGCCAGGTCCAAGGAGCTGTTCACAATGGGATACTTGGACAGGGCCACGCTGGCAGCCTTGATGCAGAACGGCATGAATGTGAGCTTCGGCACGCCGTTCTCCTTGGCCACCGCCTGCAGTTGGTCCCTGAACTGCATCAGCTGGGTCATGTCGATCTCGTCGCTGTACGCAAAGTGTGGGATTTTCTGGAGAGAAAAAATATATTAATAGCCCTTCCTGTAGGGTTTTTCATTCATAACCTACCAAGGATTCCGTCATGGACTTGAGCATGGCCTTGCGCACTCCCTTGAGCACCTCTACGCGATCAGCAGCGGCTGCCACAGGAGCCGGAGCAGGAGCCGGAGCAGGAGCAGCCGCAGGGGCAGGAGCTGCTGGCTTCTTGGCGTGCGCCAGCGTGGGATGTGGCACATTGGTGCCGGGCGGCACCTGCCCCAAATACTCCAATATATCCCCCTTGAGCACGCGTCCATTGCGGCCAGTGGCCGGCACCTTGGCCAGATCCAATTGGTTTTCCTTGGCCAGGCGACGAACCGCCGGCGTGGCGGGTATAATCACACGGCCGCCAGTTTCCGATTCCGACGGCTTTACACGCTCCGCTTCGCTGGCAGAACTCTCGGAGGAGGAGGATGAGGACGTGGTGTCCTCTGCGTCATCACCATCCTCTTCCAGCACATCAAAGTCCAGCAAGGGCTTGCCCACCAGCGCAATCTCATCGATGCTGTGATAGATCTTGGTTATCTTGCCATCGTAGCGACTGGTGATCGTCACCGAGGCCTTGTCCGACTGCACCTCGCAGAGATTGTCGAACTGCTCGACGGTGTCGCCCACCTTGACGAACCACTCCTTCACAGTCACCTCGCGGATGCCCTCGCCAATGTCGCTGAGGTTGAAGGAGACCCTCTTGTCCAGGCTGGAAGTCAAGTGCAGGCAGCGGCTTAGCTATTAAAATTAAGGAATTTTTAAACTGATCTTTGATACATAAACAACAACAAAACCTGCACAGATTAGAGAAGTTCAGAGCTGTCTCGCCCTCTCGCTCGCACTCGCGTTAGGTGTTTGTGAGATTACATAACACCCAGGCAAGCTTCGTTGTTGTTTTGTGTTTTTGGGGCAAAAGCTACTCACACTCGCCTGGGGGCGGGACATGCAATTCCTTAAGAGCCAGCCGGTAGCGCCATTCCGGAGCAGGTGGGTTGCCATTTGATGGGGACTTTGGGGGGGCCTGGAAATGCACAAGGAAAATGTCGCGGATCGGCTCGTATGTCCGGCGATCGAGCAGGTGTGTTGTGCGTGTGTTTGTGCCTGCAGGAACAGATGATTCTGGCAATCGATAGCAGCGATAACACGATCCGTAGGGCTAATTTAAGACGAATTTTAATACAAGTAATTAAGATTTGTTAAACTACAAATGTTCGATTTAAATTATACACAACATATTAATTACCAATTCTTAAATTACTTTAAATTTTAAAATTAAAATACCACAAACGGTGTGTCCATCCCTAGGGATCCAGCTGATCTAGGCAGCAGCATGTGCTTCTCGGTCTTTACCAACACTGCAGCCCAATTAAAGCAACGTGAACGCTGGCGAAATGGTGAGTTTTTTTACCTAAAAACTATATATATATACAATAAATCAATCTAATCGATTAAACTCTCATAAATACCAGACAAATCTGCGCAAGGAGCTAGAGAAATGCAAGCACCCCAACAGCCGCAAGACCAAGGCGCTGGGCAAGAAGGCACGTCGCCAGAACAACAAGCACAAGGTGCGCCTTGGCCATGCCATTAAAAGCAATATCACGGGCGAGAAGCTGAGCTGGTTCCTGGGCCAACTCGATGAGGACCGCACAGCACCACTCAGTCCGCAGGAGTTTGAGGATCTGATCGCTCTGTACTTCAAGCGCTTCGACGAGGAGCTTGAGCAGATCAACCTGAAGCAGTCGATTGGCAAGCACCGGGCCAACCAGCACGCCGCCCGCAAGGATGTGATCACAATTACATTGGAGAAGGAGCGCAGCGAGTACCGCACTGGCGGCCTGGAGCTGCTGAATCTCTGCGATCCCCTGAAGTTGAAAATGTTGCGCGATTGGGACGGCAGCGCGTTGAGTGTGCAGCACCTGAAACTGGACCTTGTCTCGCACAACATGCTGCAGCGGCTCAAGGAAACGCCAAAGGAGACCACAACGACAGGCGACCAAATGGAAGTGGCCTAGTAAACATTGAGCTAAATAAAATAATAAATCAAAATAAAAACAAAAATATTTTTGTTGACATTGCATTTCGATGTTAACCAACACTGTTGGTTTGTTTATCGATTGCTGGCAGCTCATATTAGAGTTGTCAGATTCTTTAAAAAAGAACAATCGTTTCAATTAAGAGAAATAATCTATTCTAATGGTAGAATGTCGCTTAATATTTCATTTATAATATAATTTAATGAATTTATGATATTTTTAAAGATGTATTGATGCACGATTTATCGATTAATACATTTATTACACATCAGACAGCCCGAAATTCCAGTCACCTGACAACCCTGTTTTGTGAACTTGAATTTTACTCTGTTTTGTGTGTGAATTGTGGTGAAATATTCGTCTAGAAACGTGAGTTTTATTACATAAACAAACAGCGCGAAAGGCGAAAGTGAAACTTCTGCCCTCCGTTGACTTGCAGCAGGACCACACACACACGCACATCTTTGCATCGTAACACAATGGGAGCCAGTACGTCCAAGGGAGTCGGAGTGGCCCAGGCAGCAGCCAGTCCCAGCATTCCGCCGGCCGAGCCAGTCGGTGCCGCCGGCGTCGCCGAGAAGCCCAAGTGCAAGGCCTGCTGCGCCTGCCCCGAGACCAAGCGGGCACGTGACGCCTGGTGAGTGTTCCTTCGGCATTGTGACGCAACCGAAAAGCTAATCCAATGTAACCCATCTTCCCCAGCATTGTGGAGAATGGCGAGGAGAACTGCACGTCGCTAATTGAGGCGCACAAGAAGTGCATGCGCGATGCCGGCTTCAATATCTAGACGGTAGTCGGAAGAGTCCCCAGTGCCAGAGACCTCCTCGATCCAATGCAACGCTCCTCCTCCTCCTCCTCCCATTGTTTTTGTTTCTGTTGTATCTCAAGCTAATTATAGAACTAAATTAATTGAAAAACCCAGAGCCCTATAAGTGTTGTTCTTGGGGAAAGGTCGTTATTCCTTCTGAAATTAGTTTGTTTTTAAATATTTCCCTTTGTTTGCTATCTTCAAAAGTTGCAATTTTGGTAATCAGTCATAAGCAGAGCTTGCAAATAACTGTTGACGGGGTTTTTCCTGTGCTCTCGTTGCGAGTAAAACCGAAAAAGATCATACTCTCTCGCTCTCGTTCAGAGCCAGGGAGTTTTGCTGTCTTCATTTCGGTTTTTTGTTGAACGCTTTTCGTTGAGCTCTTTTTGCTTCGGCCTTTCAATGAGCCGTGCGTAAAGAGCGGGACGAGAAACGTTCGCACACAGAGAGCCAGCAAAAGACCAAGGGACCGAACAGCTCAGCGCGAACGGTCTTCACCTTTGTTTGTTTTTTTTTTTTTATTTATTTATTTTTGTGAACAAGTGTCCATATAACAAAATGCTATTAAAAAGAATAGAAAAGTTTTAGACAATTTTGTTTTTAAATCGCAACTAAACGTTTAAGGATTTGCTTGCCTATGCGTGTGAATGTATTCCAATACATACGCAAAAGACTTTTGTTCACTGACCACGGTTCATGGGACAACCAAAACAAAACAGAATAGAAAAAAACGAGTTCGCTCTGAACGCGCGCGAGCTGATTCCAAGAACTCATGAACGGGTGCTCTCTGAGTCTTTTCGTAAAGAGTGAGAGAGAGACAGATATATGCAGACAACTAGAAACGGTCGACAGTTTTTTGCAAGCTCTGGTCATAAGACATTATATTTTTAGACAATATAAGGTCTTATCTTTGACGGTTTTTCTGCTGATTTCACACTCGGTTAATTTATTACAAATTCAAGGTACAAAGTGACTTCAAACTAGGGTTTTCCAGGCTTCCCTCTCCCCCTTTTTTCAGATAAAGCTTAGGGTACGCAGAGCAACTACTGCTGCCATGTAGAAGGTGATGCACAGCATGGTGGCAAAGGCTATGATCCTCGAGGGCTGTGGCACCGGATACACGGCATAGACCAGAGTGTGCACAATCCTGGCAACGCTGGCCACGCGGAACAGATTGCAGGCCACATCGGCATTCGGATTCGTGCTAATATAGATCAAGGACATGATAAAGTAGGGCAGGATGTTCTCCATATCATTGCGATGGGCCCTGCGTACACGCTCCACATGCGGATCATCAAACTGCACCTCCAGATTCTTAAAGAACAGATCCTCCTCGTTGGGGAAGATCTACAAAGAGCATATACACAGGCATTCGTTTAGAAACTGGTTTAATGATGACTAAAGGGCTTTACCTTGCGCCGCAGCGCCAGTGGAACGAGCCCCAGCAGCTGTGAATGGAATGGAATTGCGCTATTGGATGACCTTTGGAGCCAGTGCAGCGATGGCGTTAACCTACCTTATACCGGAAACGCTGCAGTGCCGTCAGCAGGGACATGAGCAGCATCTTTGCCACCAGCACCGTGGCCCAGAAGAGATAGCAACAGAACACCGGGTTGTCCAGGGTGAACAGCATCTCCTTGGATGGCGGCATCGCCTGACTGGTATTGGTACTGCTGGCTGGAGCGGACATTGTGATGATTGTGCGTGCTAGCGCTTCGAGGGGACTTGGGTGAGTGAGCTGAGCTAAGCGGAGAGGCTCTCCTAGCTGCCCAGAGCACATGTGGAGGCTGGCCAAACTGGTTATGAACTGCGACGGAGCGAATTGTTGCTGCTGTGCAGCTAGCACTTAAAATTAACCTAGCTGGGTATCCAAGACATATAAAAACACGAAGCAATAACAAGGCAAAACAAGTTCCTATGTATGAAGAGTAGCTATTTTAATGCAATGCAAATTCTATTTCAGTTAAAAATACTTTATTAACTTTGATTTATCCTCGAAAATAATGTAATATCTGAGGAAATGCTATGATTAAGGAGCTATCCTTCCCCTAAATGTATTTCACACAGCATACGAATACATAGCCCGCCTCGAAGCAGGTAATGGCAAAGGTGGTGAGAAAGGCCAATCCACGAGCCGGCTGAGGCACCGGAATCACCGCATAGACAACGGTGTGCAGCAGCCGGGCACTGGCTCCTATGCGGATGAGCAGGCGGGCTGTTAGGGGATTCGGTCCGGTGGCCACATATGCCAGTGACATCAGAATGAAGGGCAACACGTTCTCTAAATCGTTGCGATGGGCCCTGAAAGAGATTTAAATTGTATAAATTAATTAAAAGAAAATATTAACGAATATTTCCCCACATACCGCCTCACTCGCTCCACATTGGGATCCCCGAAGCGCACCTCCAGGCCTCCGCGCACATCCTCAGGATTGGCAAAGGTCTTTGTCTTCATGCGCTGTCGGGCGGTGAGCAGGGACATTATCAGCATCTTTAGTATCAAAAGACTGGTCCAGAACATGTAGCAGCCAAAGACGGGATTTGATTTGCTCAAAAGGATCAGCGAGAAGCCGGAACCCGATGAGGAATCGTAGTCCGAATTGGAGTCCACGGCAGGCGTAGACATGGTTACCATGGTTCCACTTTCCATGACGGTAAAGCACTTGCGTCAAACTCTCGCAGACAACTGCCTATGAGGGTCCTTTCGCCAATTGGTGGAAAGGAAATAGAGGCACAACAGGTGTCCGGGTTCCCTGAACTGACCTCATTTTTACACCATTATTATTTCATTATTTCGAGGAACGGGTGCCGGCTTCCTTACTTTTAAGGGCTATTCCGGGACATTTTTAAGTGGCTTGCAGATTATAATTAAGCTTACTTAGTTGGTAATAATGTATGAATAATTTAATTTAAAATTATTAGCTTTGAATCTATTTTTATAAGTAGATAGTGCGCCATCTGTTGGCTGATAGTTAAAGTACACCACAAAGTAAGCAGTGTCGTTAAGCAGTGCACCGATTGCTTAATTCTATTTTAAAAATAAAAACTAATTTTAATATATTATTTTTAAAATCAGTTTTGAACGGAATTAGACGGCTGACCATAACGATTTCACGCCTTCAATGCGTGAAGCAAGAACTATATTATCACTATCAGTCTCAGTCTCTCGGAAATCACTTGAATACATACACTTTAAAAGAATAAATATGTGCATATACATAAATATGTACATAAAGTATCTGTACCGACGATTGAAATCTATCATAACTAAGTCAAAAAAGCATTAATTTCAATTCGGAAAACTTTTCTATGCTAGTTTTTAATAGGGTAACAAATCTGCATACTAAATTTAATTTTTCAAGAGATCAAGATTTTTGACTTTTTGTATGACCATTTTTAAAACATAAAATCTAAAAAAATAAATTAAAAATTTTATTTTCTTTCGAACCTGGCTAGATCGACTCGCCTGGTGATGCTGATCAAGAATATATATAATTTATGGGGTCGGAAATGACTCCTTCACGAAATAAATTGTAAAAACCATCAATAGGACCTAAAATATTAGAATTTTCTGGAGGTGATAATTTTGTTTAAAATTTAATTTTAAAAATATCATAACCAAGTCAAAAAAGCCTCAAATTCTATTTGGTAAACTTTTTTATGCTAGTTTTTAATAGGCTAACAAATCTGCATACCAAATTTCATTTTTCAAGAGATCATGATTTATGGGGTCGGAAATGACTCGTTTACTGCGTAGAATAGATTTAATACCCATGGAAGGGTATACAAATATATATGAAAACTTATCTTTATTCAGTTGTATATTCATTTCTACATTTTGTACAGTGTGTTTTGTTGATTTTCCAAAATTTACTTTTTATTTCTATTTTTGGGCCCTGCGAATCGGACGACTTTTGAGAGCAAACAAGCTTTGCACCCACTTTGCACCGACAATTGTGCGAAACACTTGTACTTGTACTTATTTATCTACGCGCGATGACGTACTCCTCGGTCTTGCCTAAATTTAGTCATAGAGTTCCATTTGATTCTGGTTTGCCTCCTGGTTCTTTTTTCTTTAACAAAACACACGCTCCAACGGCGACAACGAATTTTCTCAGCGACCAAGTCGGCGTCACAAGTCGTATGGGGATCCAAAGTCCAAACTCAACCAGACGACTTTTTGTCGGTGCTGTTCTGGTTCTTATTTTTTTCGTCTTCTTTGCGGTTTTGCCCCATGACGAATACGCAGAGGCCCCCAGTACCATCATTATTATCATATATAATTTGTTAATCAATTAAAAATATGAAATATATATTCTTTGTTTTTTTTTTTTTTTTCATGCCGCAAATAAGTCATTTACAAATTTTATAAGGATAGGCTATAGAAATTCCATAAGTTTATAAATAAAATTATTTCTAGTATTTCGCAAGCAACCTCTGGGGAAATATGTAAGATATTTTCGCAACTTCCTTGATAGTTTCCTCATGAAATTTATATCTATAACAATGTTATTACATCTGACACAACCTACACTGAAAGTTCAGAAGGCCAGAAGCTGCAAAAGCCAAGTTTCATGAGGCTCAACCCCCAGTAACTCGGGTTCAAGTAACCCAGGCGTAGTGAATTTTGTAAATTAATTTCCAGCTAACCAGAAACACTTATTAAACTCCTAAGGAATGCAGACTAAACCTATCGTGGAATGATTTTCAAAAATATAATCAAACTCTTGAGTTGGACTCCAGAGCGATCTGAACCCCGTGTGTCACTAGATTGCGATAAGGCATGGCGAACTTTGTTTAATAAGTGGCTTAAAGGCTTATACCTCATAACGATAACTGGCGACAATTATAAAACAAAGGCATTAAATGAATGGGGCAGAGTATAAAAAAAAAATTATCGCCTTATCAGCGCCGTCCCATCCAGAGCAGCGACTAAAAAGTAAATAAAAACTTAATGAAATCAGCCACCGACTCATTCGCCTTTCACATGTGTTTGTACATACTATATATTTCGAGGAACTCACTCACTCACGCCTCGGACTCAAAGTCCGTCTATATGTCATCGTTACCTGAATGTGTTTCCTCCCTCTATATATAGATCATGCCCATAGGCCTTTCAAGAAGTGCTCCCTAGATGCGATCTCGGGACAGTATGTCCAAAACCCAATGGAACTCTAGGCTCGACAATTCGGGAAAATACCCGCACAGACGGACAGACCCGATAACACACCGAGCCATACATATATACTGGATGCCATGACGGGGCCTAGCCTCTGACTATAGTCTCTCTTCACAGTAGGTCTTGGGTCTACGTGTGACTGTTGATCGGATTATTTCAATATTGTTTGATTTCTGTCGGCTGATGAAATCAGAAAGCAACACGACATGATCTTATTAATCATCCAGTTAAGAGATGAGTTCTCCTCAAGCAGAAAATGTAAACTATTAATACAAAACCTTAGGGTGTTGGGGATCCTATAACCTTAGCAAAACTATTATTTCTTAAGGCCTATCATATATTTTTTATTATTATTATTTGCTATCGAAATCAAATAAAGTGATTTCCTTCGTCTAATGTTATAAAATCATTGAGATACTGCGATTTCAAAGTCCCCCTATAGAACGCCGGAAAAGAAGGTGCCCGGTTACAACGTTTATTTACAATTTACGGCGATATCGGTGATTGGAGGAGCTACCGGTACCAGACGATTTGGCGATAAGCACCTGGCCCCTCTTGGTTACAACATAAACAATCGCTGTGACGACATGTCTGGACTTTGGTCTAGGTGTAGCCTTCTAAATCTCGAGGGCTTGGTTAATATGCGCATTTATGGTTTGGGCTATCGTCTGGCGGCGGCTTAAGCCTTATCAGACAGACATAATTGCTTTATAGAGCGCATAATTCTCTGAGGACATTAACCCATTTCGATAATGACCATTTAATGCCTTGTATAACCTTTCTAATAATATTGTATACAAAATAATATTTATAATTTTTACATTAATATTAATAAATTTCAAATACTTTCAGAAATACTATGGGGATAATGCGATACCTGGATATGGAATGGCTCTACCTTTACTATCTCAGCAAAAGCTAGCAGAAAAGTGCTGAAACTTAAGAACAATCTTAATAAACACATAATTATTTAATTATTAATAAAGATTTCATCGAAATCTAGCTACTTGATCTGGATGTGGGAGGGTGACTAAGGTTTCGCTCTTAGTTCTTGTAACTTGTCACTGTTTCAAATACCGGACTTTGGAAGGCAAAGCGATTTACACAGCATTTGGGGAGTATTACGTAGGGAAGAGAGCCAGAGAGTGTGTAGATGTGCAGTGGCGGCGTACAATGTACACTTATATTATCGATGCGGTGGCAGGGGGTTCAAAGGTCGCACGAAGCATTTGCGTGGCGTAGCTGCCCATTGGCCATTGATAAGTACGTACATACATATGTACATATGTATTTATATAGACCTACATCTATTGGAATGTACTTCAATCTAAACTTTGTTTGTCGCCCCGACAACACTGCGTATTATTAATCTAGTTGTCAAGCATGGCGACCAAACACAGGCGCTATCTCCCTTTCTCCCAAGCTTCCTACTCTCTCGCACTTTCTTTGCAGAAGAATGGCAATGCCCGAAGAAAGGCAATGTTGCCAGGTTAGCTTATTTCAAGCTAGATCTAGCATATGTGAAAATTAAAAAGTTTATTAAATTTGAAACTAGCTTATAGCCCCAAAAGTAGCTAATATTATAATTAATTTAGCATATTTTAGTAATTATTGTATTTGTAACCTAACAATTTATTTAATTATATATAATATCGTTTTCTATTTTTAGCTGTTTTCCTTTAGAATCTGGCTACAACGTGGCATCACTGGTTTAAAGACAGATCTCTCCCTGGCTGGACAGTGTTGACAAGTCAGAGAGCAACAAAAATACTCTTAAAATAATCAAAATTGGAATATCTTTAATTGCGCTTGATAATCTCCACTTGATGATTCCATCCAACCTAATATAATAACATATAATCTATGAATTAATCTTTGTTTCTGTGAAAAATGCAAAATCTAGCGATAAAATGTGGCCACTTCTAGCAGAAGCAAAATAACCTCAAACAGATTACGCTCTCGCACTCACTCTCTCTCTCTTTCGGCTCTTGAGAGAGCCAAGCCTATATATAGCAATGCAAGCGATCGGAAAATCAAAAAAAATTAAAAATTAATTCAAATCGCGGACGTGCAGACGTGCTACATAAATAGAAAAGTGCTCCACGTATTCCACAGTTCCTTTTGACCGCTATACTTTGCTTAACCCGCCGTTGGTTTTTTTTTCGTTCGTGAAAGAAACAAGCAGAAAAGTGACGTGACGTGCCAAGCGAAAGAGCTTGGAAAGACACTAGAAAGCCGAAAAAGAAGAAAAAGTGAAAACAGAACTCGCAAATTTATCAAACAAAATGGCCAGTGCAGATCAGAAACACGCCACCGGCAATGGCTCAGCCGGCAACGGAACGCTAGCCGAAGATCAGCCCAAGGACGCCAAGGACCTGTTGCCGCACCTGGAGTCGCTCGAGCGAATCATCAAGCTCCCCGTGGTGAATGCGGCGTGGGACAAATCGCAGGATGTCTACGGCAAAGTAAAAGGTAAGTTGAAATGGAGGACAAGTGCGGTGCAAAAGTGCATTGAACTCGCCGAGCGAGTAACGGGCGCCCCGCCTAACGGCACAGAAAACCAAAAACCGAAAGAGAGGCCGAAACAAAACCGCAACAAGAACAACAATGTGCAATGGCAAATGCAGAGCGCATGCAATCGAAACCGAAAACGAAACTGAAAACGAAACCGTTGCGTTTGCGTTGCTTCGACTTCGCCATTTTAATTCGCGTTCGGGCTCGAGTTCGAGTCTTGCATTCGGAGCCCAACTCGGCGGAGTTTTTAATTGCCCGGCAATGGGCGGGAATTAAGCTCAATTGATGTTAATTGATTGCAAGCAGGCGGCCAATAATCGCAATCACAGCAGCAGTGCGAAAACAACAACAGCCATGACCTAGCACCACCAACAATAACAACAACGCTACGTCCGGCACTTTGCCCTCGTGACGCGCGGCGTACAAAGTTCGCTTAAAAATTTACATAATAAAAACTTGGCCAAAGAAAAAAATGTGATGCGAGCAGGGGATGGAGGCAGGGAGACAGAGAAACGGACCACCGCACGTAGGCTGCAGTCGCAGAGGCGCCGACAGCGATGGGGGGCTCGTTTCGAGAGAAAGAGCAGGCCCCCAGACCCACTGGCCACGCCACTGGGGGCGCTCTCTGGCGGAGAGCAGTGTTGCCAGAATTGACCACAAAAAAGCTGATGTAAATATGTAATTAATGTTTTTTTTTTTTAAAGATGTATACAGTGCACGTGTTTTTTTTTAATGTTATTTAACAATTTAGTAACATTTATTGTATGAATTGAAATATTTGTTTTCTTGGAATCCATAAAATAGATTTATACATTTCGGTTCGCCAAAAACCTCGTAATCTTTGCAATGACTCTCAAGAATATTGAACTTGTGGAATATCCCACGACTTGGCTGGAAACTTAGCCTCTTGACAGCTGGCAACACTGTCGCTGATTGGACTTTCGACTTGTTTGTTATATTCCGGTGCTTGGCACACACACACACACACACTCGTACGCACACTCTTATTGGATGATGTGTTTGAGGAATGACGAACTATCAAAGGTCTAAAACTCGTCGTCGTTGTCGTCGCAGACAGATAGAGAAAGATCGTAACGAACACTCCGGAGGGTGGCATGTGGGGGCCGCCTTGCAATCCTGAACTAAACTGCGCAGTTCTTCCCTTATCAGTGAGAACTGCCAAGCGGCGCAGCTGCTATAATTATTACTTTTTGTTGCAACCACTGATAAGGCTAGGCCTCTTGTCACATGTGGCAGCTAGCTATAGCTACCCAACAATTCCAGAACTTTTCCAACAAAACCATCAATCTCCTCTGCTTTGTATTTTTCCAGGCAAGAACCGCGTCTTCGAATGGGCCCTGACGGCTGCCGAGGATTGTGTGACGCGTGCCGTGACGACAGCCGCTCCATTTGTCACCAAGTTGGACCGACCCATCGCCTATGTGGACCAGACGTTGGTCAAGGGCATTGACAAGCTGGAGGTGAAGGCACCCATTATCAAGGACACACCCCAGGAGATCTACAATCAGGCCAAGAGCAAGGTGATCGATGTGGTCCAGCCGCATCTGGAGCGTGTGGTCAAATTCAAGGCGGCCGGCCAGCAAAAGGCCGCCTCCCTGAAGGATCTTGCCTGGCAGAAGGCCAACGAGGTCCTGGCCACCCAATACGGCAGTCTGGCCGTCAATGGTGTGGACACAACCACAGCGCTGGCCGAGCGCCTGCTCGAGTACTATTTCCCCAAGTGCGAGTCCGATGTCGAGGAGGATAATGGTGAGTGCAAGTCCGTTTTTAGAATTAATTTAAATTGTTGGATAGAGCGCCGCAAAACAAGTTCATTATTAACTTTTCCAGCTCATTAAATGATTCGAAAAAGTGCACTTGATTTATGCGATTGAAAACTTTAGGCTAAAAATTGAGACAAGAAACGTATTCTCTTGGTTTTCTTCCATTTCCATAGCCCCTGTCTGTTGTTTTATTTTTTTTTTTTATTGTTTCTTTTGCGGTGTGTAAACAAAATGCTAAATATAAATCGTAAATATTTTTAATTCTCAGATGATAAACAAAATGCCGTCGTGCAGAATGGCAAGAGTTCTGAAAATGACAGTAAGTTCCTTCTCCTCCCAAAGAAACCCCATCGATCCGATCTGTCCAGATTCGCTCGTTCGTTTCTTTTCTATTCGTTTCGTTGTTTGTTTTTTACTAACACACACTGGCCTAAGCATAAAAATTAAAAATAGCTAACAAATAGAAAAGCATGAACACTAATCAAGCATGAAGAACAATATACAAAATCTGCAACACACTCTAAAAAATTTCAGAAAACTGAACAATATGAACACCAAATTAGGGAAAAATCTTGATGATATAAATAGATATTTTATATTCTGTGTGATATATGGAATATATCGATATAATCGCCAAAAGCGAAAGATATATTGAATTAGTTTGATATTTGTGACATTTCCAAATTATTTCTACCTGATTTCAAGCTACTTTCCTTCAATTTACCAAATAGTTTCTAAAAAAAAAGTGGGAAATATTTACGATTTCGATTTCGAGCTTCTAGGGTTTAGCCTTTAACCTGAATCTGATCCCGATCCTGATCTCCCCCTCTATAACACTGTAATTAACACCCCCAGTGACTAATTTTCTAAATTAATAAACTCTTTCTCTCTATCTCTTATCTCTTTTCCGCGCCTATTCGTTAGTTATTGTTGTTGGGGAGAAGAGCTACGACCAGGATCACGATCAAGAGATTGATGATAGATTCTTAGTGGCCGCCTCGACGGTATTTCTGTCCATGTCCTTGAAAATCATAACCGAAATTGTTGAGTACGTTAGAAGAAATCCAGAGATCGTAGGCATTATCGATAGGGAACTCAACAAGTTTATGGTAAGCACACACAAAGAACACCGCCCAAGCACATCCCACTCACACTAGCACTAACCCAAAAACAACTTTTGATTAAATAACCCGAAAGACTAACTAAATAACTAAGAAACTCTTTGATTTGAATTGCAATTAACTTTAATTTTAATTAAATTTGCAGTGCCAGTTCCCGCCAGCGAGGATCCAGTCCTACACACAGTACAGACGGTTGGACGGCTATCCAACAAGATCTCGCGTCGCGTCTATCGAAATGTCTCCCGACAGATCAAGCAGGTCCAGAAGGGTAACATCAACGACTATCTGAGCTCCCTGATAGCCGCCCTAAAGCTGCACCAGTACATCAACTTTATAAACTCATCGATGGGCACCAATGTGGAGCAGTCTACGCTGTCCAGTGACAACTGTTCGCCCTTTGGCGGAGCCACCTCCACCACCACCAGCAGCAGCAACTCTAACTCCAACTCCAACTCCTCGGCAGTGGCTGTGGCCAAGAGCAAACCAGCGGCGGCGTCGTCTCAGTAATGATATATACGTATATATCTGAAGCTTAGATATTACCTTCTTTCACACACATCTGCACACATACCCCAAGATCCATAATTTTTTTTTCTTAATTATAATTTTATAATTTCGTTTTTTTTTTCAATTTTTTACAAAAATTTACATGTTTATATAAAAAAAAAAGGGATTAACCAGCAAAGAACAAGAAATAAGTGTGCACCAGCCTCCCTTTGATTTGTAAATATTTATTTGAAGTATATAGCCAGCCCTCAGCACCCCCGCACACGCACACACACCCACACACCACCGTAGCTTGTAAGTTGTAGTCGATAGAAAGAGATCGGGAGATCGATTTTAGCTGTGCTAAAAGGCGTCCAAAGTGCCACTTGCATTGAATATAATATACATACTATATATACGCCTATATATACCTAAAATATATACACTGATATATATATATATATACATTGGCCTAGAAAGTGTGGGTTAGCTATACGTATACGTAATCCTAGTGCCTAAAGCTATTTTTTATTCTCTACGCTCGCTGGGAGCCCCTAAAACCAGATGATGTCTAATTGCTAATGAAAATGAATTATGCTTAATATATATACACACACACGAAACACACACCCCAAACACACACACACAACAAACACTTGTATGGAGAACCTAGCCATAATGTTTGCTCTAAACAACCCCTAGTTTGATACTATTAAATATTATTAATAATAATAAAAAGAAGAGAAAACCAACGCAAAACTGGAACGAAGAACAAGAATCATCTTTAATTATTTCCCCCAACGATAGTGCTCTGTGCTATATTATATATTCCTTATCTGATTGGTCGCCTTATCGAGACAGCGTTCCCCGGTCCGCTGATTTATATGGGAGTTCAGCGTGGAGTTCAGGCAGCGGCGAGCGAATGGAATTTATAGAGGAGATAAGGTTCCTATACATATTTATAAATATACTATATTTACAAACATGTGATAATTAAGTGTGTTCTTATATCGTACAAAAGGAAGGGATTTATTGAACAGCAAACATTCAATTCTTTAATTCAAAATGATAAATAATTTTAAATAATTTTTTTTATTTAAAAAAAATATTAAAAGGCCTTTTTAATAATATTAAAATATTATTTGTATTTAATTCACTTTTTTTAAACGCTTTTAAATATAAAAATAATTTTTTTAACACCTTTTTAACAATATTTAATTTTTATTCGTTTTTATTTTAAATTTTTTAAATTGATTTTAAGAGTTGAAAATAAGAAAATAATATTTTTTTTAACCTTTCTATTAAAATATATTTTTTAAGCTAAATATTTACAAATCTATAATAGAAGATCCCATTGTTAGGGTGCCCACTGTACCGCCGTCGTTGGACTCTGCATCTCTGCCTGTCCTTGTCGATAATGACGGCGTTAATGGCCGGGCAATTATCCATTTTTTTTTGTTTTAAGATTGGGCAACGTCGTCGTCTGAATTTCAGCTGCCACTCCTCCTCCTGCCCCTGCCTCTTCCTCGTTTGTATTTGCGCCACGTACAGGAGAAACATGGAATCCAGGAATCAATCTCAGCATACCTGGCATAATTTTCGAGTTTTGCTAAATGCATTTTGGGGGCTACAAAATATTCATGAGTCTCCGCCAGAAAAGGGCTTCTTCTTCGTTGGGCATGTCTGGCGGTGGACGACTAGTTGGACGGGTTCCCAAAACCGCAGACGCCAGGCATCGAAACAAAATAATACAACAAAATCCGGTTTTTATTTCATTTCAAGTTAGAAAATACAAGGCATTAAGGTATTAGTTAAAGCCCTTTGAGAAATATTTTCTCTAATTAACCACCCATCAAGATTTCTCACTGTGTACTCAATGATCATAGAGGTAATACTCGTTATGGGCTTGACTAACCGCAAGGTGTACTTCAAGATGTTAATGGAACCGGACTTTGGACCCCAGCCCTGCTCGACCCCAGACTCGAGACTCTTCCCAAAGCGCAGCGATGACGAGGCCCGGTCTTCTTCTGGTCCCCTCAGTTGGCAACGACAATTCCTCTTATCGCGGAGAAAGAGTGGGAGGAGGAGAGAGAGAGGGAGGCAGAGACCCATAAAGGCTAACTATAAACGTAATCAAGAATTTGACGTACAGGCAGTGCTATAAAAAAAATTGAATGACTTAATAAAAACACAAAGAGAGAGGGGAGAAATTAACTCTGAAAGTGGGAGAGAGTGTGAGAGCGGAAGAAAGGCGGCTAAGCCAGTGGCGATCCATGATATATTTTGTAGGGGGGCCTAAGGGGGGATATAAAATTTAAAATATTTTTAATTAAAAATATATATTTTTATATTTTCTGGCAAGTTCCTTGTTTAAGGTGCGATTATCTTAGATCAGACCCCTCCTGGCTGGCCTCCGCCACTGGCTTGAAGCCTCAGGATGAGCCCGGCGGAAGAGGCGTGGCCAATCAACGAGAGTGCAAGCGAGCCAGAGAGCAGGAGAGAGCGGGATCGAGAGAGTTCAAAGTACAGAAAGTGGCGTGATTCTTATTATTCATTCTCTCGCTTTTGATTATTGAGATTGAGTATTGTGTATATGGCGTATTATGGTCAGCAATATGTGCGAATTATGCCGAGTTCTCTGATCTCGTTGTGCATCTGCCTCGGGTTGCACTTTTTGCCGTGCGTCAGAGAGAGACTTCGAAACGGGGATATATTCTGATAGTCTAGGGGCTTATCAGTCTGTATGGCTACCAGTTTAGATAGGAAATTCTACAGAATTCTACAAAGGAATTGTTTTTTTGTGGATATTCACAAAATTAACTCAAAGCTCACTTTTTAATTTTATTTCGGAGTTAAAAATCATTAAAAAAAATATTAAATATTTTAATAATAATCATTTTCATGCACATTATTGAAATAGAAATTTTTATATATTTTTAAATGATAATTTTTTTGTTAAATCAAAGTTTAAAAATTCCATAACTAAGTCAAAAATTACTTAATTTCAAATCGGAAAGCTGTTCTATACTAGCTTTTAATAGGGTAATAAATCTGTGTACTCAGTTTAAACATTTTAAAAAATTAAAATTTTTGTAATTTTTTTTTTAGATTTTAACGATGTAACTCCTTATAAAAATTTTTAAAATTTATAACATTTTTTTTTTCTTGTCAACATGGCTAGATCGACTCGCCAGGTGATGCTGATCAAGAATATATATGATTTATGGGGTCGGAAATGACTCCTTCACTAAAAAAAATTGTAAAACCCATCACAAAGATCTAAAATATTTGAATTTTTTAGATGTGCTTATTTTGTGGAAATTATTAATTTAAAAAATATCATAACTAAGCCAAAAAAGCCTCAAATTCAATTCGGTAAACTTTTCTGTGCTATTTTTTAATAGGCTAACAAATCTGCATACTAAATTTAATTTTTCAAGAGATCAAAATTTTTAAAATTTTTTTATGACCATTTGTAAGATTTTTAAGATATAAAATCTAAAAAAAAAATTTAAAATTTTATTTTTTTTCGAACCTGGCTAGATCGACTCGCCTGGTGATGCTGATGAAGAATATATATGATTTATGGGGTCGGAAATGACTCCTTCACTGTTTGTGTGTCTGAAATTACCCTGCATGGGTTTAACAAGGAACAAAAATATACATTTTTATTATGAAAATTACAGAGATTATTATAAAAACAAATAAATGTGTTTTTGTGTAATTATTTATCTTATTTTATAATGGCTTTTTATGTCAATTTTTTGTGTAAAAAAAAAACAACATATATTTATTACAAAACGATTTCCACAGCAAATTAAGCTTAATTGGGAACTGATCGATTGACCGATCGCTGATAAACTATTGGCGCCTCATTGGGGCTCCTCATACTCCGCCTCCATTGCCACCTCCTCCTTAGCCACCTGATCTCCCCAGTCGGCGTCGCACATTGCTTCGGCCTTGACTTTGCTCTTATCACCTGCCTTATCAAAGCCCCAAAGTGGCGTCAGGTGGGGTCTAGCTGGAGGAGGCGGAGACGACGGAGCCAAAGCTAGAGCCCGAGCCCGAGCCGGGTGCCTGCATCAGGGCCAGGTCAAAGTGCGGCTGCTCGCAGATCGTGAGACTCCGGCCCAGATGTCCGGCCATTCTTTGAACCATGTGCCTGGCCAGCGATGGAGCGGTCAACATCCGACGGAGCAGGGACCAGGTGCAGCTGAGAAGGGACTTGGCATGGTAGTGGCTACTCTCTGACACTAGCCTTAGATGTGTCTCATTGTCCACCAGCTCCTTAGCCTTCTTTTGATTCTTATGCTGACGCTTTTGAATTTTCCTGGTATTATTATTATGATCCAAGTCTTGGGACTCTTCTTGCAGCTCCTGAGGTGCTCCAACTGAATCCACTTCCTCCCTCTCGCGCCGCTTCGCCTCGATCTCCCACTGTTTGTGAATCCAGCTAACCATATCGCCATCCTGCAGGCTGTAGTCCTCTTTGAGTTGACCATTTCGGCGTAGAAAGCGGAGGGCATCATCGTATCCCTGCTGACAGAAATTGGCCACAACATCGGATCGTCCCGGCACCAGAATGCCCACAAGGCGACGTAGATTTCGCCGTGACAAGCGGAACTTGTTGTTCGCCCAATTGAGATTCAGCTGCAGCAGGTGTGGGCTCTGGTCACGGGGACAGATGTCGCTCTCACCGCAAAAGGGTGTGACGGTAACCGTGGCCTCGTCCAGCAGGGGCAGATTGTTGGACAAGGCGCCGTCCATGTAGCGCACACCAAGGATCTAAGGATGCAACGGGGATTTCAAACAAATAATTTAAGAATCGGGAAATATCACTATCAACCTGCGGCGGCACCAAGCCCGACAGTCCGGGTATAAAGCAGGAGCACATCAGGGCCTGGAGGAGCTCCTGGCGTGAGCTAAACTCCGACATAACCACATTCTGGCGATCCCTGACCCGGGTGAGGGATATGTGAAGGCGTCCATTGACCAGCCGATGGGCATCCGGCGGCAGGCAACGATGCATCCCCTCGAGCAGGCACTCGGACAGATTGAACCAGGGACTGAATGTGCCCAACGAGTGGCGACGTGTCTCCTGGACGACCCGCAGAAAATCCCCGGCCATGCCCTCCAGCGGTAGGTCGCAGATGAGGCAACAGGCGGCCAAAGCTCCGGCGGAGGCGCCGGCAATCCTCTCCAGCAACAGGTGGGGGGCATGTTGGCGCAAGCAGACCGCAACGCCCACGTGGTAGATGCCCAGAAAGCCGCAGCCGGCGAACGAGAGGCTCCTCCGGATCTTTATCTTCATAGCTTTTTTAGGCACCCTTCCTTGATATTTTTCGGAATTATCCGATATTGCTTGGGATTTTTGTTTCCAATTTTCGCTGAGGTTTTTTTTTTTTTTAATATTTCCCAAGTTTTCTTTTGTTGTTTTTTAAGCTTATTTTCTTTGAATTGGGTTATAATGTGACCATAGACTGGGTGGAAAATGATTTTAATCCAATTAAAATACCAATTACAACGGGATTTCAAAGTCCAGAAAATCGATTTCTTATCTCCCAGTCTATAGCTTTATTGTAATCTGTTGAAATACAGGGTTTTCTGTTGATTTTGAATTTAAAACACTATGTATAAAATTAAAAACTTAACAAAAATTAAATGATGGTATGTAATAACTGAAATAATAAATGAAATTATATGTTATAATAATATATAATAATATTATTAAATCACAATACCTTTCAAAAAAGGGTTTGAAATGAAACTCTATAAAGAAAAAACCCTCAGATTTTCATGTATGGTTTCAAAAACATTTAAATTCCAGTTTAAATTCAAATATATTTTATTCAACTAGATAAACTAAGTAAATGTATATCTTATTTTGTATATATCTGCCACGATCCACGCAACGCCTCACTATCGATCGTTAGAGAGTACCATGGTATGACCCAACAGGGTCTAGTCCAGCGAATAACGGTTAGTCCGGGGTTAGTGTACATATTGTATACATATTTATATTTATTTATTTATTTATTATGTGTACATTTAAGGGGGGTTGTTAGCCGATCTGTAGCCGTTTCCGAATTCAACGGAGGAGCGAGCACGAAAGGATTCATACCTTTGATTTACCTTATTCCTTCTTGGATATCTTTTCATCTCATCTCGCTTTCTTTTCTCTCCTTTGTTATCACAGTCGCCCTAGAGTACTTTCCTCTCCACCCGAGGACTTGTTTTCCAAGGGGGTTTTCTCGGACATGAAATCATTAGCCAAATGGGGGAGATACAGATGGGAGGGTGCTCTCTCTCTTTCTGTTCCAAGTCCAGCTCCAGATTTCCTTCAGATTCATCTTGTGGCTTGTGTGTGTTGGTGTGTGTTTTGGGTGTAAATGACTGTGCTTAAGGCTTTGCAGTTTGTGCCTGGCCAGTGGCTATTCCATCACCTGCCGGACTGGTCTCTGCCTCCTCCGTCTGTGGCTGCATGGTCTTGTTGAGGATCTGGTGAAAGTGTTCGCCGAAAACGGCATGATTGTAGGACACCAAACGCCGAAACGAGGCGATAAATGCAACCAGCTCCTCTTGGTAATCCACAAAGCCGGCGGGCGGCGGCGGTATGCTGCCATTAGAGCGCAGGGCCACACGCACATAACCATCCAAGCGCTTGGCTGAAATACAGGATATAATAAATTATAAGAAAAAAAAGAGACAAGGGAATGTAAAAGCACTCACCCATCAAACTGGGCACCGGCGAGGCCTTGTTGCTCAGCTTCAGCACCTGATTCTTGAGCGCCTCCTGGTCGGCCTCGCTCATGGCCGGCAGCTGCTCCTTCGCCAAGGCCTGGTTGACAAAGGCGCGAATCTGCTCATAGCAGCTGCCAATGGCAGTGGCTACTTGCCTGCAAATGCCATCACAATTAGTTTATTTAAACAAAAAAGAGATCGAGTAGACACTCACTCTTGGTTCTTGACATCCTGCACGATGATGTCCAGCTGCTTGGATAGCTCGAGGCGGTTTTCGCGACGCTGCGATATAATGGGCGTGCTCTGGGCAATGGAGATGAGCGAGGCGCACAGGATCAGACGCTGGGCGCGCCAACTGAGGCCCGAAAAGCGATCCTTGTCAATTTGCAGCAGCTCGGGGAATTCCTTGTCCGCCGGATAATCGATCAGCTGCATGTAGGCATTGTATATGGTCTCGTCCACATTGCTGCCGGCGCGATGGCGCTGCAGCCAGTCCTCGGTGGCCGGAAAGCTGTAGCCTAAAAAAGGAAATTCAAATTTAAAAAATATTCTCAAAAATAAAAGGAAAGAAAGCTCACCATTTCCCATGTACTCGCGCATATACTTGCTGAATTTCTGCTTTTCATATTCCACCGAATTGGCGGCTATCTCCTTGCGCGCCAGCGTCAGCATAAAGTTGGCCATATCCAGCTTCATCAGGCTCATCAGCTCGAAGATGCTGCGAAAGGTGTCCACCACATCCTCGATTTCCCTTAGCTTGGCCACGGCCTCGTCCCTGGCCGGGCAGCAGGAGCGTGACAGGATGTTGATCACAAAGTTGGCATACGCGCGGAAGTCCAGCAGTCCCCGCTCCGCCTGCTGCTGAATGACAGTCTCGTCCAGCACCTCGTTGATGTGGGCCACGATCCGCTCTTTGTTCCGGGAAAGCAGCTGGGGGAAGGTCTCCTTGATCTCGGCCAGCAGGCCAATGGCCTGGTCGTAGGAGGGCGGCTGCCGCTCCAGTTGCTCGCGAAGCAACTCCCAGAAGGCCTTGTGCACATTCCTCTTGATGGCACCCTCCAGGCTGTTCGATGGCGGCTCGTATTGCTGCAGCTTAAAGTCCGGATTGAGGGCTATCTCATGGGCCAGTTCCATGTTTTGCAGGTCCTTGAACATGCTAGACATGTCGTCCAGGGTCACTATCTTCGGCGGTGAGCCGTCCAGGCTGGGCAGCACAAAGCGCGTCAGGCTATCCACGGAGCTCTCGCTGTCCGTGCGGATGCGATGCTCGTCCTTGGCCTGCTGCTGCTGTCCACTGTTTTCTTGGGCATCCATGCTTGTGGCTTGTTCTCTTTGTCACCACCAACCAGGTGAAGGCGGAAATGCGACGTAGATCTTAGATCTTGGCAACTGGTTTTGAGCCAAAGCCAAATTTGGTTACCACCGGTTCGAGGCGGTTTTATTTGCAGTTGCAATTGCGTTGCGCTTTCTTTGTTCTTTGTTCGAGGTCTTCGTCAAAGCTCCGCTGGGGGTTAGTGGTTCGAAAGGAGGGATCAGACACAGTGGATATTGGCTATGTAATACCAAGGAAAATAAAATGTCCCTAAAATGTTTAAAAATTTCGTTTTACATATTAATTATTATAAGATTTCAAATTAAGCAACAGCAGAAGAATATATAAATAAAAATGTACACATTTCCCTAGAAATTGCTCAATTCAAATTGTGTAGGAAATCATTTTGAAATTCTGTCTTATCTATTTCTGTCTTGGCAATGACAACTAGTGTCTTGAGTTTTAAATTAAATTATTAAACAAAAATTTTGATATATGAAAATATTTACAAATAAAAACAGATTTATTTCATAGCCTTTTAAAATCAATTATAAAAGTAAAGCTTATTCTCGAAATTACTGTTAAGCAAGGCCCACTGTAAGCAGCCAAGCTGGGAAAGCCGTTAAACGTGACTAACATTCACACACACTCACAGAGGCCAAACAGGTGTGAGCTTGTGTGAGTGTTTAACAAAGAAACGAAAGGCAACAAAGCAAAGAAAGAAAAAAACAAAAACAGTTAGACTTGAAGAGAGAGAGAGAGAGAGAGAAGTGTAACCAAATAATATCGAATAACTCGAACATTCTCGAAACAGCTTGAAATAGCATTTTGACATAGATTCCAAAATTAAATGCAGAAATGCAAACTAGAGCACAAATTGCACAACGCCAGCAGCCAGCGAAAGGGGGGACATAAACAAACGGCGCAATAAAGCAGCCAGCGAAAACAGAGGAGCGATTAAAAGTCTCGTGTGTATTTGTGTTTTTTTTGTTTCCTCCTCTCTGCTTTGCCTATTGCGCAGCATTCTCAGCTGGGGGAAAATTGGGAAATGGACACAAGGCCGTCGCTTAATGGGGCGAAAGGGGGTGGGTTGGTTGATCAACTCCCCAAACTTACCAGTCGAGAAAACATTAGAAGCTTCCAGAATATTCGAAAATGTGCCTCACTCGGGCGCCGCACTGGTATTTTGTTTCACCTTTACAATCACTTACAAATTTTGCATTTAATTTGTCCCTTAGCTCCACTCTCCTCCCAAATTTCTTTGCACTTTTTGCATGCCGAGATGCCGAGTGTTACAACCTATCACGAACGGGAACAATTTCCAAATAAAAACTTTTCACGCTGACAGCGCCAGCTTTGTTTGTTGTGTCTGCCTTGTGTTTTCGTTTTCCTCTTCTTATTTGCCATTCCCTCGCCTCCGTTACTTCGCAGCTGTGCCCGATAGGCAGATATCGATAGAAGGCAGCCTTGCCATATCGCCATGTCTGCACAGGGTGGCAATCTCTAGCCAAGGAGCAGACACAAAATTTTCTTTTTCCATCAAAATTTATAGTTTATTCTTATGGGAAATTATTGAGCTTTTCCCGAATAGGAAAACATTGCCACACTTGTTACAGCGGAGCTCCCAGACTGGAGGAGGAGTCCATGCTGTAGACGTGCCTCCAGTTTCCTTTATTTGCACTTTTTGCAACCCCCCGAAAAGTGAAGAAGCGACAGGCACGGGCAGGAATCCAGGAGCCAAATGGAGAGCGAAAAGATTCTGATGGCCGCCGGAGTGACGGTGGCCGCCGTCGTGGGAGCCTTTGTCTTCTGGGGACCCTCGGGTGAGTGGCAAATGTGTTGTTTTCTTACGGAAAGCCTTATGGATTCCCCCCCATCCTTCTGGCAGGCTCCCGCTTGCGCCAGCGTCGCGGCCAGATCGCCGGACTGCACAACTTTGGGCGCACCTGCTTCCTAAACACCCTGCTCCAGGCCTTGGCCGCCTGCCCGCAGTTCATCGCCTGGCTCCAGCTGTACAACGGCGCCTCCCCCGATCGCCGGAGCCTGATCAGCTCGATGCTGAACACGCTGGAGGTGGTGAACGGCACCCATGCCACTCTGCGCGGTGATCCGCACTCACCGGGCGCTGTGCTGCGCGCCCTAAACGCCTTGGGCTGGGTGATACCGCAGGAGGAGCACGATGCCCACGAGCTGTTCCACGTTTTGCTCTCCTCCCTGGAGGAGGAGGCAATACGGCCGCAGCCCCTAGGCTGTCTGTCGGACGCCCTGCCGCTGGGCACGTTGGGAACCACCGACAACGATGACGCCAGCAGCAGCATTGGCCTGGGCACGGCCACGCCCCTTGGTGGATTCCGACCCATAAGCGCCATGGCCGCCGGACCAAGCGCCAGCCAGCGGGGCATTGGGGATCAGCCAAATCGGCCCTCGAGCGCCATGCTGACCGACTTCCTTAACATGGAGTATGACGAAAGCACCAGTCTCACCCGCCTGGTGCGCTCCGAAGCCCATACACCGGACTCGCCGGCCTCCGTTTGCGAGCGCGAAGGCTCGGATCGCTTGGGTTCCCTGCTGCTGGATGCAGTTTCGCCCGGAACGCCGTTTGGCTTTCCGCTAGCCAGCGAAGGGGATGCTCTGGCCACGCCCACGCCGACGCTCGGCGGCGAGCGATTGTCGCGACCAAGGCAGCCGCAGGGCCAGGAAATGGGCGAGGGCCTTAATCGTCGGGTGTCCAGCTCGTGCCGGTCGCTCGAGCGTTTGCATCGCGGCCCGGGGCGTGTGTCCATCTGGTCGAACATGATGCCCAGCCAGGTGGCGCATCCCTTCCAGGGGGCCATGGGCGCCCAGATTGTTTGCAACGGCTGTGGCTCCAAGTCGGCGGTGCGCTATGACAAGTTCGACAGCATCACACTGAATCTGCCGCCGCAGCGACGGAGTGGCCAGAGCCTGGGCCACCTGCTCAGCGATTACATCACTTCGGAGGATCTGAGCGATGTCAAGTGCGATTCCTGCAATGAGACGACCACGCACACCAAGTCGGTGACCTTTGCCAAGCTGCCGGCCTGCCTGTGCATTCATGTGGCGCGCACAGTCTGGCTGCCCACCGGGCAGGTGTGCAAGCGCCAGGACTTTGTCCATTTCCCCGAGAGCCTGTCGATGGCGCCGTACAGCTTTGTGCAGCCGCATCTCAATAGTCAGGTGAGAATTTACGGGGACTCTATCTCTTTCTATTTTGTGAAGATGAAATGAAATATATCCTTTTCCAGGCTGGCACCCCTTGGGGCTCGACAATGTCGCTGTTTTCCAGCAGCCTGCCGATGAACAATGGCCTGGGCGGTGGCGAGGGCTTCGGCACCATGTTTCCCAAGAACCTGTACCGCCTGCTGGCCGTGGTGGTGCACTCGGGCGAGGCGAACAGTGGTCACTTTGTGACCTATCGACGCGGCTCCCTGCGAAATGCCCATCGGTGAGTGGCAGTTTTCCTTTGTCCTAATATTTTTATTGAAAATTTCCTATTTTTGTAGATGGTTCTACACTTCAGACACCATTGTGCGGGAGGTGAGCATCGACGAGGTGCTGGGAGTGCCGGCATATCTGCTCTTTTACGATCGGGGACAGCACCGGCAGCTGCCCCTGCGCTAGTCAGCCGGAGGAGAAGGGCGGAAGGAGGATCCTAGTCAGCCGGCAAACACTTGATGTGATGGAATATCCAAATCGAAATCCTTACTCGACCCACGTCGTGGCCATAAGAGACGACTTACCCACACATATATATATATATTATATTGATATATGCATATAGCCATATGCCCGCGATCTGACGTATACTCAGCCGAGGACAAGGCAGTGGTCTCTGCATCCTGCGTGCATCGTGCATCATCCCCTTTATTTGTTATCGATGCATTTACGATTTTCTAAGAACTAAGAATTCCAAATTCATAATGTGCTTTTAGCTGTCTGTATTTAGCAATTTACACACATAAATCTACCGATAATTGTTTGCGCGTTATTTCCGTAGGATAGCTGTTCAATAAAAATTTCTCACAAAAATGTATTTTGAAATGTTTCAGGGTTTTAATGAATTCAAGAAGTTGTTTGGGATTATGTTCACGGCTAGATACGCTCGTCTGTTGATGCTGATCAAGAATATATACGAATTGTAGGGGGTCTTAAATGTTGAAATTTACTGCGATGAATAATAATAATATAAAATAATAATAATATAATGTAATAATAAAATAATATAAAAACATTATATAATATATTAAAAATATATAATAATAATATAATATCAAACTAATTGAAAGGTTTGTTTATAAAGCATACGTATATTCAAAAGATTCTGGGTATATCTGTATATATACTAGACATATACGCCGCCGCGCCACGCCGCCGCCGCCGCCGATTTTTGCCTTATTTGACGCGCCGCCGCCAAATTATGAAAATAACGGCGCGCCGCGGCGCGCCGCTGGTGCGGCATCGGCGCAGCTTCAGCGCGGCCTTCAGTGTCATTGTTCTTTATAAAACTTAAAAAAAAAAAAAATAACTCATTAAAATGGCCTTTTTGCCTTATTTGACGCGCCGCCGCCGCCGGTTCTTTCTGACTACTACGCCGCCGCCGCCGAGTCATTTTGACCTCTACGCCGCCGCCGATGCCTTTAACCATCGGCGTAAACCTCTAATATATACTATTTAGGCAATATTTTACTTAATTTTATTATTATTAATATTTATTTTAAAAGAAAGAATTATAAATTATAAAATTAAAAATTAAATTTTCTTTATATTTAATAATTTAATTATATTATTATATATTAATAAATATTTAATATATAATATATTATTAAAATGTTTAATTAGTTAATTCCTTAGAATATTTTATAATTTTATTTTTTAATATATTTTCTATAATTTTAAACCTGTTTTTTTCCTGTGTATACTCATATAATGAGCACCCACTGTACTTGGTCGCAAGAAGAAAAGTCTAGAAAAAAATCGATTACTCGCCTATCGACAAAGTGCCATCACAACCGCCAAGCGTTTTGCATTCTTTTTTTCCGTCTAAAAAAAAAGGCGCAATTGGAAGCAAGTAAATAGGAAAGGCAACATGTCCGACGCCGAGCTCGAACAGACGCGCGTTGGCCACGTGGAGGAGCACGAGGAGGAGGTGGAGGAGCAGCGCCAGCTGCAGGAGGAGAAGGAACACCACGAGCCGGAGCAGCCGTCGGAGGAGGGCTCTGGCTATGTTTACACAATGGACGCGGGCCCGCCGCGCACACCCGTCCAGGATGCGGCGGCCGAACTGAGCGCCAGCCTAGATGTCAGCGGCTCGGATCAATCGGCGGAGCAGTCACTGGACCTCAGCAATAATACACAAACGACGGAAACGTCCGCCGAGTGCGAGCCGCCCAGCAAGCGGGATCGCCGGGACACCAGTCCCAGCAATACCTCCAGCTCATCCAGCGGCGGCGGGGGCAGTAGCTCACGCTATGATGACATCAGTGAGGTGGAGGAGGGCGAGCAGGAGACTCCGCTGCAGCAGATGCCACCGGAGCCGCTGGAGGAGCCGCTACAAGAACAGATAATAGCACAGGAGCCGCCGGAACAGGAGCACATATTGGAGGAAAAGGAATTAATAGAGGAGGAACACATAATACAGCCGGAGCAGGAATCTGTACAGGAACTGCAGGCAGAGCCAGAGCAGGAGGAGGAGCTGGCGGAAGAGCAGGAGGAGGAGCAAGTGCCAGAGCAGGAGCAGCACCAGGAGCAGGAAGAGATGCCACAACCAGATCAGGCCGAGATTCAGGAACCTGAACAGGAAGTTGAGGTGGAACATGACTTGGAAACCGATGACGAACCCTCCTCGAGTACGGTGATTCATGTGGCGCCCACCGGCTACACAGTCGATCCCGATGCCCCCACCAAAGCCATTGTCACCGAGGTGGTCACCATACCCGCTCCGCTTGGCTTCAAGGCGCTAGTCAAGCTGCCAACGGAGGTGCCCGAGACCCCTGACTCTCCCACGGACGATGGTGGCGAAGAGCCGCCGCCGTTCTTGCAGACCCAGGTGCAGCAGGCCCTCATGCCGCTCCGCTTGGCTTTGCGTGATCCCCGCCAGCGCAATATGCCGCCGCCCATACAGCCTCCTCCTCCGCCGCCGTCCTCGTCGTCGACATCGTCGATGCCCAGCCGAACGGCGCTCGGTGCCAATGTGGAGACCATTTCAAGCGACAGCAGCGAGGACGACGAGGAGGAGGATGAGGACGAGGAGGAGGATGAGGAAGAGGAGGACGACGAGGAGGAGGAGGGCATGACCGAGGAGCACGACAGCACCACCTCGGAGACCATGACCACGGTGATTAGCGGCGATCCCATGATGCAGAAGATCGACGTCAGTGAGGATCCCGAGAAGATCTACTACATACGACGTGACGATGGCACCGTCCACCGTGGCCAGGTGCTGCAGTCGCGGACGACGGAGAACGCGGCCACGCCCTACGAGTACTATGTGCACTATGTGGGCCTGAATCGTCGCCTGGACGGATGGGTGGGCAGGCATCGTATATCGGACAATGCCGACGATCTGGGTGGGATTACGGTGATGCCGCAGCCGCCGTTGCCCTCGGACCAGCCCAGCACCAGCCGGGAGATGCTCCAGCAACAGCAGCAGGCGACAGTGGCAGCGGCAGGCGGTTCCGTCCAGCGACCGAATCGATCGGGACTCAATCGGGACTACTATCTGTCGCCGTGCGAGAACAACCGCTACGATTACAGCGACCGGAAGATGACGCGCTACCAGAAGCGGCGCTACGACGAAATCAATCACGTCCAGAAGAGCCACGCCGAGCTGACGGCCACCCAGGCGGCGGCGGAGAAGGAGCACGAGTCCATCACCAAGATCAAGTACATTGACAAGCTGCAGTTCGGCAACTATGAGATCGACACCTGGTACTTCAGTCCCTTTCCCGAGGAGTTCGGCAAGTCGCGGACGCTGTACGTCTGCGAGTACTGCCTGAAGTACATGCGGTACCGGCAGAGCTACGCTTATCATCTCTACCAGTGCGACCGGCGCCGTCCACCGGGCAGGGAGATCTACCGCAAGGGTCAGATCTCCATCTTCGAGGTGAACGGCAAGGAGGAGCCGCTGTACTGCCAGCTGCTCTGCCTGATGGCAAAGCTCTTTCTGGACCACAAGGTGCTCTACTTCGACATGGATCCGTTCTACTTCTACATCCTCTGCGAGACGGATCGCGAGGGCAGCCACATTGTGGGCTACTTTTCCAAGGAGAAAAAGTCCATGGACAACTACAATGTGGCCTGCATCCTGGTCCTGCCGCCGCATCAGCGCAAGGGATTCGGTAAGCTGCTGATAGCCTTTAGCTACGAGCTGTCCCGCAAGGAGGGGGTCATCGGTAGCCCGGAGAAGCCGCTATCCGACTTGGGACGGCTGAGCTATCGCAGCTACTGGGCATACACGCTGCTGGAGCTGATGAAGAACCGCTGCTCGCCGGAGCAGACCACCATCAAGGAGCTGAGCGAGATGAGCGGCATCACGCAGGAGGACATCATCTACACGCTGCAGTCGATGAAGATGATCAAGTACTGGAAGGGCCAGAATGTGATCTGTGTGACGGCCAAGACCATCCACGACCATCTCCAGCAGCCGCAGTTCAAGCAGCCGAAGCTGACCATCGACCTGGATCGCCTCGACTGGAAGCCGCACAGCGCCTATGTGTCGCGCATAATGCCGGGCGTTACCTTCTAGTATCCGGCGCGGGATCCAGTCCCGCAGCAGTGTTCCGAAGTGATATTGATTGAGTAGTCCTTCGTCCCTATTTTTTTTCTTTTTTTTTGACTAGAATTTAAGCTTAAAAGTCACCTATAAAATAATGCTGCATTTTCACAGAAATAGTTGAAAAGTGTAAAGTAATCAATGAATTTCAAAAAGAACACTTTATGTTTCAATTTATTACCTCATTTTGAAGCCCTGTATATTATGTATATTATATTATATTCGTTACATTAACGTCGCAGGATCAATATCTCCTCTAAAACAAGTGTTTAAAACTGCAAATATTCACTAAATATATCAAAAAAATATATATGTATCTTTTTTTTTTGAGTTTAATAAATATTCATAAAATTAAGTGAAACAAGAATGAAGTTCGCTGAATTTATCTATATTAAAGTACGATTTTTTTTTCTAAGTGTATGTACTTTTAAGCCCAAAAACTTGATACAATTTAAGATTAACAATTACAAAGTTATTCGGTTAAAAACATCAACTATTGTGTTGTAAATATAATGGAAAATGTTAAATTCTTTGAAATTTTATCAATTGTTTTATTATTATTTTTATTTATTTGTTTATATATTTTTAGATTTTTTTATTTTATTATTTTAATATTTTTTTATATTTATATTTTCATATTTTTTTATATTTAAAATTAGTTTATTTTTATATTTTTTAATTTTTATATTTTAATATTTTTTATATATTATATTATTTATATTATTTTATTTTTTATATTTTTTAATTTTTATATTTCGATATTTTTATATATTTATATATTTATATTTTTATATTTATATATATTAATGTTTAATTATTTATTTATTCTTATTTAAGGAACAGCCTAAATTTAAATTAAAAAATTTAAATATTAAATTGATCTTCGATATTTTTCCTAGAGCTTGATAAACTATCGCAAAAAGTCTCCTAGCTAGCCGGCCTGCTAGAGGCGCTGTTATCGATAGCACCCGCATCGATAGACCTGCCGCCTTTCCGTCCTATTTACTGTTGCTTTTGCCGCTGCCGTCTCCCAGGATACACAGGATATAGGATACAGGATATATATAGACACGGGCTAGAAAATGGGCCTGCTGTCCGATCCATCGATATCGACGCAAAGCAAGCTGGTGGACGGCCTGGCGCGCCATGTCCGCAAGGTGTGCACCGTCTTGTATGTGGCGGGTGTGGCCTGGTTCTTCTGCCTGGCCCTGCCGGAGTTCAACCACGGCACATATCTCTCGGAGAATGCCCTGTCGCCGGGCTTGGTTTACCCGGAGATCCGGGTTGATGCCAATCGCCTGGCCATCCAGCTGTTGGAGGAGCTGCAGCGCGAGCGCAAGGATCATCTGTCAACGACCCCGCATGCCTGGATAGCGGCCAAGATGAATGAGTTCGGGCTGGAGACGCACACGCACAACTACACGCTGCGGTATCCCTTTGGCGGCGGCAAGGAGTATCATGGCAAGAATATCTACGGCATTCTGCGTGCTCCCCGCATTGCCTCCACGGAGGGCATCGTGTTCACGGCTCCCTATCGCGCCGCCAGCTCCGTGCACACGGACATCTCGCCCAGCGTGCCGCTGCTGCTGGCCTTTGCCGACTTTGCCCGGCGGAAGAACTACTGGGCCAAGGATCTAATCTTTCTGGTCACCGAGCAGGAGCAGCTGGGCATGCAGGCCTGGCTGGAGGCCTATCACGATGGCGATCGTGACCTGGACGTGAGCAAGGCGTACCTGAGGCCCGGAAATTTGCCGGCGCGAGCGGGTTCCCTTCAGGCGGCCCTAAATATCGAGGTGCAGGATCTGGAAATAGGTGAGTTCAGGCTTGAATCCCCAAAAGTCAAAGGGTAACCTTTAATCAACAACAGACTACGTGGACGTGCGGATTGAAGGACTAAACGGGAAGCTGCCGAATCTGGACATGTTCAACCTGGTGCAGCGCATCATGGCCCGGGAGGGGATCGCCTCCGGCTACAAGCAGACGCCGCGCAAGAAGCGCCGGCACAGCAAGTCCCTCTTCGAGACCAATCTCCGGCAGATGCTGGCCATGCTGGCCACTCAGTCGTCGGGCGTGCCCAATGGCAATCATGGCCTGTTTCATCGCTATCGCATCGATGCCTTGACCATAGCCGCCCATCGGAGGGCCACCCATGCCACGCTGAAGGGTCAGCCGGGTTCGGCGGCAGTGCCGCTGCTGAAGGCCATCGAGGGCATAGCCAGGAGCCTAAACAATCTCCTGGAGCGCTTCCACCAGAGCTTCTTCTTCTACGTGATTGTGAACAACGATCGGTACATCTCCATTGGGGACTATATGCCGGCTCTGGTGGCCCTGGTAGCCTGTGCCTTTGTGAAGGCCTACCTAATGTGGTCCACGCTGCCGTCGACGGAGGCTGGCGGTGAGCTGGACACGGAGGAAAGGGATGCAGACACCGATGTGGAGGCCGAGAAATTCGAACTGCCTTATGGCTCAGTGCTGATCTATCTCACCGCCACGCTGCTCATTGGCTTCCTGTGCAACGTGCTGCCCCTGCAGCAGTATTTCCTGGAGATACCCATGGGCGCTGCCCCGCTGACCACCTCCGTGCTGAGTTTCCTCTCCCTCATTGGGTTTATCTTGCCCTTTGTGGTGGTCCTGCCGCCCGGCGGCTTGGAGCTGCTGCACGTGGCCTTCCTGCTCATCTACGGCTGCTCTTTGATCGTCATTGGGCTGCTCAACTTTGCCTTGGGCTTCTTTGTGGCCGTGCTCACGGTCCCGCTGGTAATTGCCCTGGAGACCAAGGAGGACACCAGCAGAAGCACGTTGAGGCATGCGATCCGCCTGCTCGCACTTATCCTCAATCCCATGATGATCGTGTATGTCATTGTGCTGGCCATGACCTTCTATCAGTTCCCCGAACTGCCGCTGCAGAAGATCCTGCTGCGAGCAGCCACAGCGGCCATGGATGCCTCGGCCTACGGGCTCATTGACTCGGTGGTGAGTTGGTTTAGGGTTTAAACTTTTAACTTTTATTTTATATTCCTCTCTTGCTTTCCAGTTGTATGGCAACTTCTTGTACTTTGTCATATCCACGGTCCTCCTGCCTTTGTGGATCATCTGCTGGACCCTGGCCCTGTCCAAGCGCAGGGACTATGCAGACTATGTGGAGTTTGAGGAGTCGCCAGCGAGCTCGCCTCAGCCGCAGTCGCCGTCGCAGGCAAAGGTAAAAACCAGTTGAATGCCTGCATATATCATCGGGAAAATGATCCTAAGATTAAGTGTGATAAACCCCAAGACAAATGCGTGGGTAATTCCATAAAGAAAATGTTATATTCGATTAAATGTCTGAATAAATGAAATCTATTTATTAGTTGCAAGTATTTTGTGTATTCAAATTCAAGCAGGGACTTTGGGGGAGCACGTCTCTCCTTCGCCTCCTTTGAATAAGTGGAAAACTTTTCGACTATGACACGCAACTTAATTTAAACTTTCCACGACGCTGGCAATTAGTTATGAGCCTGGATTTGGCTCAATCATGGATGGATGCATGATGACGCTGTGGGTGTCGGGGAGCCGGGAAGCCAGAGAGCTGTGCTGTGCACTTGCCGAGCCATGTTTACCGGCGCCATTCAGTCTGCAACTTAACAAGAAAACTTTCCTCCACACACACAAACACACACAAACACACACACACGCACAGAGCTTCGAAGGCGACACAAAGTTGCACCGGAACAGTGGTAGTCCTTCATACATATCCCTCCAAGCCCCAAAAGTGCCTTAAAAATTCTCCAAGGTTGAAGATATTGCTTTAGATATTGCTTTCTCCTTGAATCCTTTTCAAAATCGACTTTTAAGATATTCTTAGAGGATGATTAATAACTTAAATGCTGTAAAAATGAGTAATAATATCTTTTTAATGTTATAATTTGTAGGCAATTTTAATTTTAAAAATATCATAACTTGGCCAAAAAAGCCTCAAATTCAATTTGGTAAACTTATTTATGCTAGTTTTCAATATGCTTACAAATCTGCATACTAAATTTAATTTTTCAAGAGATCAAAATTTTGGACTTGTTTTTTGGCAACTTTAAAACATTTTTAAGACATAAAATTAAAAAAAAATTAAAAATTTTTATTTTCTTCCGAATAAGGCCAGATCGATTCGCCTGGTGATGCTGATCAAGAATATATATGATTTATAGGGTCGGAAATGAATTCTTCAGTGACTAAATTATAAAACCCTTCACAAAGACCTGAAATATTTGATTTTTTTATTTGATAATTTTTTTTTTTTTTTTTAATTCTTTGTCAAATTTATCTTTAACGAGCTAAGTTCGGCACGCCGAAGTCAAGTCGAGCCTTTGATAAAATCAAAATCATACAAATAATATTATTAAAAAAGTTTTCAGTAGTTAATTATTAATTAATCATTAATAATTAATCATTCGGGCAGTCAGCAGTTGTTGTGGAATCGCTTCCCGACTTCACTCTTTGTTGTTTTTATCATCAATTTTTTTTTAAAAAATTTGTTGTAAATTAAAATTAAATAAATGAAATTCAATAAAAACGGAGAGAGAAACAAAAAATATATTAAATGCTAAAGGAAAATGCCATGTATGATCTGTACTCACTCTGTATTTTGTAATCTGTACTTTGTAGTCGAAATTCCATTTATCTTTTGTTAAATTTATACACAAACACAAAACGGAAAAAAGAATTGTCGATCCCTCCGGAGGGCTAGTTTTCCCGGGACGACATTTTTCCCAATTTTCTCAGAGTTTTCATGGGAGCCGCGTAATAAATACGAGTGGGAGAGCGAAATCACAGCAAAGAACACCAAAAACGTCCAGTCCACAAATGTGGATCGTATTCTCTCTCTCTTCTGCGCGAGAGGCATCCTTTCGTTTGCTTTTACATGTTATTTCAAGCGCAAGAATCAGAAGCACAAAGCCTAACAAGAAAAAGCCGAGGCGGCAGGAACGAATTGAGAGAGAGAGACAGCGAGAGAGCAGAGCAAACGATGCTTTGCTCTGCGTTGGCCGAATAACGGTGGCAAACCAAATAAAAAACTAAATGCTATACGAAAAAAGCAATGAATGACTGTACTTTTACATTTTATTCCACGCACAAAAATCAGAAGCGCAAGGCCTAACAAGAAACACAAAAAGAGCGAAGGAGAGAGCATAGCAAATAATATTTGTATATGTGTGAACCATACTCACACATCTAAGAAAATATGCAAATAGGATAAACAGAAAAATGCAATGTATGACTGTACTCACTTTGTACTTTGCTCTGCGTGTGTAGTGCCAAATGACGGTGCATAAGAAAATATGCAAATAGGAATAGAAACGGAGAAAAAGAAAAAAAAAAATATATATTAAATACTATAGAAAAATTAAATGCATGATCTGTACTCACTCTATATTCTGTAATCTGCACTTTGTAGTCGAAATTCCATTTTTATTTTGTTGAATTTATACACAAACACAAAACAAAAAACAAAAAAAATACACAAACACTAAACAAAAAACAAAAAAATACATAAACACTAAACAAAAAACAAAAAAAATACACAAACACTAAATAAAAAACAACAAAAATACACAAACACTAAACAAAAAACAAAAAAAATACACAAACACTAAATAAAAAACAAAAAAAATACACAAACACTAAACAAAAAACAAAAAAAAATACACAAACACAAAACAAAAAACAACAAAAAAGGCTCTGGCACATGCCCACACATCCTATTTCACTTACACTTGCACCAATAGTCGGCCGTCAAGACAACGCAGTCCGAGCGTAGATTTTCTCGGTTTTTTTTTCGGATTTTCGCGTAGAAAACAGTTTCCGATCCCTCCGGTGGGCTAGTTTTCCCGACGGGAACACTTTTTCCCGTTTTTCCGTACTTTTTTCCCAGTTTTTCCGGCGTTTTCATGGGAGCCGCGCGAGTTTCGACCGATCCTGGCGAGTGCGAGAGCGAAATTGAAGAGGCAATGGCGGAATATAAGGACGCCGATATAAACGGGAAGCTCTCTCTCTCTCTCTCTCTCTCTCTCTCTCTCTCTCGCTTTCCATTCTTTACTGCCGCCTCGGCTTTTTCTTGTTAGGCTTTGTGCTTCTGATTCTTGCGCTTGAAATAACATGTAAAAGCAAACGAAAGGATGCCTCTCTCGCAGAAGACAGAGAGAGAGAATACGATCCACATTTGTGGACTGGACGTTTTCGGTGTTCTTTGTTTTGATTTCCTGGCTGTAAACTAAAACTGGAAATACTTTTTCACAAAAAAATGAACACAAATCTAAATTAAAAGTCTTAAATAATTAATTTATGCAATTTTCCGATCGTTTTGACTTCTTTACTGCGTTGCAAAGTTCTGATTAAATTTATAATATAAAAATTATATAAATTATAATTAATAAAAAATAACAAATTAACTTCAGGCCCGCCATCTTTTCCTTCCGAAGGATCAGCTCCTGATTCAACTATGCTTAATTTCTCTATTAAGCTGGTTGGGTGGCCAATTAACAATTCAGCAATTGGTTGGCCAAGTTAAGACAGAAAGGATTCCAGAGGATTCCCCCAATCGAATAAGCTCATTTTGCTGCCTACTAAACCACTGTACCTTGATTTTAACCCACTCCTTGTTATCCTTTTGCTCAGCCAAGAGGATAGAGAGAGAGAGAGAGAGAGCAGGCTATCAGGCAGGTGGAGGTGCGAGCGAGTGGACCAAAAATTGGCAAGTTGATGTCACATAATTGCCCCTCGAGCGCTCATCTTAATTATTGTGCTTGCTGACTTCCTGTTGCCCGACTTAATTCCCCGTTAAAGCCAACACACACACAGAGCCTGCGGTATCCCGCAGGACCTCGCCTCTGGATTACTCCTTGCTGCTGCTGCTGCTGCTGCCGCTGCTGCGTGTGGCATGGAAATAATTAAAATTGTTCGAGGAGGTGTTGCACTCCAAGCAGGGAAATCAGTAGAATATATGCAGGATATATGGTGCATATATTTACATGACAGTAAACAGGCGACAGGAGACTTATCGGAGGACAAAAGGAGCAGAGCTGAAAACCAAACCAAACTAAAATATTAATATATCATAATGGGAAGGGATGCTGTAAAGGCTTTTGGGTTTTGCAAGAGGAAGTTGCGGTCTCGAGAATTTATGAATAAATTAACTAGGTACATTTTAATAACTTAGATTTTAATTTAAATTGAAAGAAAAAATTCCATAAATTAAATGGGAATATTTTAATATTTTTTAAATTTAAATTTAAATTAAAACAAATCATCATTAAACTAAAAAGGAACCTTCTAATAATTTAAATTTTCTAATTTCTCTCTAATTTAATTTTTTTCGTATTTAAACTTTTCCAGCAACTTTAATTTTTCAACCTTTTTCGAACTGAAATTCTTTTTTGCTTGATATTTTTGAATAAAAGGTGTAAAGCGAAAAAACAAAAGCGGGATATAGGAAACTGCAGGGGAATATCCATAGAGAGATTTCAATTTGCTGCCCTTGCCGCCCATTGTTTGCTTTGGATTCTATTTCTTTTCGTATTTTTTTGAACCGTGCTTTACTTTCGCAGAGAATTGAAACTTTGACAGTTATTTGTGTGTTTTGTCTGCCCTGTCGAAGCAATGCAAAACTGTGAATTTACACACGCACACACCTAGCACACAGGGAGCGAGTCACGTTGCACTCCATTTTTTTCTTTTTTTTTTCAAATTGCGCAGGTGAAATGGAAAACAAACGCATGGAAAACTGGGGTATAGAAATAGAGGTGGTTACACTTTGAAATTTGAGTGGCTGAGATCGGGAAATTAATAGGAGTTGTCCTTGAAATTCTGAAGTGAGAAATCCGAAAGAATACTTGTATTTTAAAGATTTCCAAGACCTTTATTTATTTGTTTATTTTCTTAAATTACGAAAAAATTAAGAAGGAAAAAAATGATGATATAGAAAATATCCATAAAATTCCAAAAGTAATATTTAGCATATAAAAACATAAAGTATAATAAATAAAAATATAAAAAAATATCAAATAATAATATAAAAATATTAAATAATAATATGAAAATATAAAAAAATATATAAAAATATTAAATAATAATATAAAAATATTAAATAAAAAACACACCATTCGTAACTTTGTTTGCAGTGCAAAAACTAACAAAACAAAGGACTCGCTGTGAAGTGGAAGTGTACAAATAACGAAATAATATTGCATACGAATAAAAATGCTGTCAAAACTGCCAATTTCTCTCAATTTGTAAAGTTTGCTCAATCCAGTATTGCCAGTATATTTTTTTTCGCGTATTTTTTGTTACTACTGTTTGCCGCTGATATCTTTGTGTGTGCAGATTT